ATTCCTTGTGCCCCCCACCACGGCCCCCCCGCTGCAGGAGAGCCTCACCTGGATAGTGTCAAAGACAAACTCCTTGGTGCAGTAGCTGCAAGGTTGGGTGCGCTTGGGGCACTCGGAAGTGGCGTGCTGGGCCAGCAGCCGGCGCATCATGCGGGCGCCACACTTGTTCTCACAGTACACGCTCTCTTGGGGACACAAGCCCTCGTGGCTCTACAGTGACGAGGTCAAGGGCTGAGTTAAGGCTCCCCAGCCACCAGGACCTCCCCCCCCCCCGCCCCGCTTCTTCCTCTGCCCCCGTCTGGGGCCCACTCACCTCATAGGCCTCCCCACTGAAGTCACAGCCACAAAACTCACACCTGAGGCGCCGCTTGGGACAGTCATGCTGCAAGTGTGCGGGCAGGTCCCGGCGGCTCAGCTTGGTGGGGCAGCGATTGGGACAAGGGACAACATTGAAGCTGCAGGTATTCAGGTGGCCCTGGGAAAGAAGGGCACCGTGAGTGCCTGCCAAGGCAGGGGTCCCCGCCACCCGCCAGCACCCCTCACCTGTAGGTGCCGCAGCGCCCCACTCCAGCGGCAGCCCTCCTCGCTGTGGATGCAGCGGATGGGCAGCCCCAGCACCTGCACCTCCAGTTCTGGGTCTGGGTAGATCTGGAAGCAGGGATGGGGGGATGCTGTAGTCCCCAACTCCCACCTCTTCCATCCTGTGAGGCTGGCTCTGGGGGCCAGCAACAGCCGCTCGGCTCTTCCCCTCTGTGCCAGGAATCAAGGGCACAGCAGGTAGTACCTGCTCCGATGACGGATCCTGCCCCCTCCCCCCCATGCCTTTGCAGTAGCAGGCAACCAGCCCGATCTGCCCCGCTCACACCCGCTGCTTCCTCTTAGGGCTGGCTGGTGACCCAAAGAGGAGGGGAGCACTTCTTACGGGCACAGAGCAGCTCTGTGCACCCCCACAGGCGGGGCATTGTTGGCTGCCCTCTGGGGCAAACAGGGGCCTCATTTGCAAACTGGCATGGTGGGAGGGAACAGGCCACCTTTGTGGGGGCGCACAGTCCCACAGCTCTGGGTTGACATTGGCACTGCGCCACTGGCTGCCGGCAGCTCCAGCCTCCACCAAGGACATCAGCCTATACCCGGGCCTCTGCTGGCACTGGCCTCACCTTGGCATAGTCCAGAGGAAGTTGGTCCTCGGGGCATTTGAAGACTCCTTCACTGTGAAGCGAAGGAAACAGGGTCAAGGAGCCTCTCCATGGCAAGGAGAGCCCAGGCCCCACCCCTCCAGCAGACCAGCCCCCCTCACCAGACCGGTTTCCAACCAGTCCTGAGAGGCAAGCAGAGGCCTCAGGGACCCGCTTCCCCAGGACCCCAGAAGACCACAGGGCTTGTTTGGGGGAGAAGGATTGAGCCAAGTGGAGACAGCGGCAGCTGCCACGGATAGCACTTGGCCAACAGGTGGCAGCTGGCACCCCTCCCCCCAGGATGGCAGCTGGACTATAAGAGAGGACAGTCCCCCACGGCCCTCCTGTCCCCCCCCAGGCTAGCCTTCACTGGCTGGGCTGAGATCTGAAGGCGGGAACCCCAGGGACAGGCAGAGATTAAGCACCAGGCCTGCCCAACCCCGTGTGTATGCCCAGACAAAAACCCAAGGCAAAGGTCAGTTTGGGGCCACCTTATCCTAGCCCGCCCCTCTCGGGAGGGTGTGTCTCCTAAGCAAAGAGAAAAGGGAGCTGCCAGGCAGGGCACAAGTAACACTCTTGCCACCTGCCTCAGGCAGACCCAGCGTCCCCATTATGCAGCTGGAAAGATTCTCCCAGCTCCATAGAACCAGGCTATGTCAGGGGCCACCGTTCACAGCACATAGGAGTGGCCGGGCCAAGGCTCACTATCCATCACTGTCGAGGCAGCCCCAGCCCAGCTTCTGGTCACCTCAGGGCAGGTCACTGAAGCCTTCAGCCCTGGCTGACCAGGGAATGGGTTGCCGGGCCTCTACCCAGGGGCCTCACTCCCCCAGAAGGGTTGAAGGCTGCAGGCCTGGCATTCCAGAAAGGTGTGAGTCAGGGAGGTAGGACAGGCTGGGCCTCTGGTAAGTCTGTCCTGGGGGCTCTCTGCAGTCACGCCTCCTGTCCTGGAAGAATTACGGAAGCTTTCCTGATCCCTGCCATCCCACCAGGGCTACCCTGGCAGCAGCCAAGGTCACAAATGCATGCCCAGACACTGGGGGGTGGGGGTCCCCCACAGGGCAACCTGCCTTGGTCACCCACCTGGGTAACAGCTCTGGCGGGAGGGGGGGCCTGCTCTGCTGCTTCAGGAATGTGCTGACTTAGTGGCACTGGAGACAAGTCCCCAGGCTTCGGTCAGATTAGCGGGCAGCTTGGGGCCCAGCAGGGACAAAGGTTCCATCAGGGCTCAGAACACCATTACTGAGGGGAAGGGGGCGGGGCAGTCCTGTCCCACCCCCAGCCAAGCCCCCTTCCCCCACAAAGCTCAGGCGCTGGGGGAGGGGAAAGCAGCTCGGCTGCTGCTCCTGGCCGCTGCTCCTGGCCGTGCAGAGCAGTGGAGGCCCCGGCCCAGGGGAGAAGACAGGATGGGGGGGAGGAAGAGGGGATTTCCGGGAGGGGGAGGGGCAGAAGAGGCAGCGCGCAGGGCCGCGGAGGTGCGGGAAGCCCAGGCTGACAGCCCGTTCTCCTTCCCCGAGGCAGTCAGGGGGGGTCAGCTGAAAGGGGGTGGGCTCCGTGGGGCTCATCTGGAAAGCAGAGGCTGGGGAAGGGCCGGGAGGAGACAATGGGGCTGTGTCTGCAGGGGTGTGTGTGTGTGTGTGTGTGTGTGTGTGTGTGTGTGTCCAAGGCGGGGGAGGGGCGGGGAGGGGGCGCCGGGCGGGGTGCGCGAGCATATGTGAAGGCAGCGGCAGCGGAGACGGGCGCCTGCAGGATCCGCGAACAAAGGGCCTGCTGGGGTTCTCCAGCCAGCTCGGGGCTGCGGCGGCCAGCAGGGGGGTCCCCTCGCCGCACACACCGGGGCCCGGCAGTGGGGTGTCCCTCCTGCCTCCCCACGAGGGCAGGAGATTTAAGGCGCCCCAAGAGGGTTGGGGATCCAAACAGGCACCGGGCTACTGACCACCCGCAGGGCTCAAGATCCTGAGGGGCGTGGCAGACACCCCCGGGCTGCGGCTTCCGGGGAGCCCTGCAGCGCCGGGCCCTCTATTGTGCGACCCCACGCTCCGGGCCGCAAGTCGCGGCCGTTGTCGACTTCCCCGTTTCAAAGCCTGGGAAATGGGAGAACAATGGCTCGATTCTCGCCACGTTCCCGGGTCAGAGCGGGTGCGACCCCGCGGGATCCAAAGTTCAAGGCTGCGGCCGCGGCGCGCAGGTGAGGGGGCGCCGGCCACCGGGAGGCTTGCCCCCTCGCACCCCGCGGACTCGAGTCCTCCCACCGCTGGCGGACGCCGAAGGGACCCGGGCCCTTGGGGGCCTGACGTCACTCCGCCTCGTGACGTCACGGCGAGCGCCCCTGAGGTCACGGGCCGCAGCGCAGACAAAGGCCTGGTGAGCCGCGCGCCGGGGCCACCCTCCAGCATCCTCCCCACCGCCCCAGCCGGCCCTCGGGGCCCCGGGCCGCACCTGAGAAACTCCTGCAGGCAGGTGTCGCAGAAGCGGTGGCCGCAGGTGGAGACCTGCACGGGCTCGCGCATGGGCTTCCCGCACAGCGGGCACAGCAGCCGCCGCTTGGGCTTCTCCAGGAACTTGTAGTCGAAGCCGGGCATGGCGGGCGGCGGGCCCGGGCGAGTGGGGCTGGGCACGCGGCGGCCCCCCAGCCCGCGCCTCGCTCCGGCTGCGCTCCCGGCTCCCGGCGGCGCCGACTGGCGGCCGCGGCCCGCGCCCAGCCCGCCCGCCCGCCCGCCGGAAGAGGGGGCGGAGCCGCGCCCGCGCGGTCCTGGCGCCCGCCGCTCGGCCGCCCCGCCCGCGCCCCGGGCCGGCGGCGGGCGGGTCGGCCGAGGGCCGGCATCGCCCCCTCCGGCCCGCCAGGGCTCTGCTTTCGCCTGGGGAAGAGATCGCGGCTCCACTTCGCCCCAGCGCAGCGGAGACGGCCGGCTCCGGGCCACCGACGCTTGCTTCTCCGGAGTCCACAGCGCCCCTCTTGGAGGCACGTGTCGCTCAGGGGCCCGGGGCTCCAGCTTGCAGGTGCTAAGCAGCCGCCGAAACCTGGCAACCGGATCCGAGGAGCCTGGCTGGGGCCGGGAGGCCGGGCTGGGCCCTGGGCCAAAGGAACCTCGGCCTCAGCTTCAGGGTGCGCCCACATTCCTCCCGCGACCGCGGCCCTATAGCCGAGATGGGGCCCAGCCCAGCCCCTGGGTGTCGGGCCTCCACCCCCACCCCTCGAGAGACCACGCTCTGGGCAGCAGCTGATGTTTTTATTGGCACGACTTCCCAGTCATCTGGGAAACTGGTCTGGTCCATCTCGCTCCACTTTCCCCCTATCTGCAGTAGGGGCTTAGCACGGAGAGGGGCCTCCTTCCCTGGGGTATCCCTGAAGCAGAAGTCCAGGCGGGCTGATGGGAAAAGGGAGCCTGAGAGATTATGCAAACTCCTGCCTGCAGCGGGTTAGGGGAGTGGGGGCTGAGGCCAGGGCTCCCTCAGACCTCCCTGCCCGGGGCTATCCAGACAGGCGAGGCAGCCAGTATGGCCAGGCAGGTCCTGGCTTGTCCTGCTCCTAAGCACTGAGCTGCTCTTCAAGTGGGCACCAGGGATTCCTTTTCTAAATGAGCAGAGGAAGGGGCAAAGAGCCACCGCCAGCTCCAGCCGTTTTGCCAAGGAGACTTCCATTGCACAGGTGCTTCCTGGCCTCCATTCTGCCAGTCTTGGACACTAGGGATGCTGACTTGAGAGGTCCAAAGGGGTGGGGAAGAAAGAGCAGTGTTGGAAAAAACAGGGTGGACCGAGTTTGCCAAGCCAAGAGCAGGGTAAGGGCCTCCCTGGTTTTTATATGCCCTCAGTGACCATCCCCGGAGTTTGGGGGTGGGGAGACAATGATCACGTCTCAGGCCCCTATGCTTTTTTCCAGAACCTTCAGGGAAGAAGCATTCTCCAGAGGCATCTTCAGGTGCTTAGGGGGGCGCTGGCTCATCTGTGACAGCTAGAGAAAACAAAGAGAAATCCCCATGGGTGCCGGAGGCATCACCTCTGCTCAAACCCCACGGAGCCCTACACTCCAGGTCCAGAGAGCCAGAGTCTGGTTCCTGGAGCAGGAGAGAATGTTTCAGGGGCCACAGTGATAGTACACTGGCAAGGATGCTTATCTTGCAAGCAGCTGACCTAGGTTCCATCCCCAGAGTACCCTGAGCCTGCCAGGAGTGATTCCTGAGTGCAGAGCCAGGAATAAGTCCTGACAACAGCTGGTGTGCCCCCCCCCCCCCAAAAAAAAAACCAATAAAAAGGAATGTATTTGGGCCCAGGGAGCAGGGGAGGCGGGGACAGTGCCCAGCCCAGGCAAAGGACTTGGTTGTAGCCCACAGCTTCAGCTTTCATTTCTCCAGAGGCTGAAGATGCTTTTAGTGATTTGGGCTGTAGCCAACAGCTGGGTGTGTGGTCAGGGCTAGCTGGGTTAACCCTGGCCCAGGTGGGTGAGGTGGGAGAAGTTCAGACTCACGGCGAACAGCCAGAAGAGTGCTTCCGTGGCAGCAGGACACAGAAGTCACAGTGTAGGGGTGTGTCTCATCCAGCTGCACTGGCCGAGGGAGTCCAGCCTCCTCGTCCCTCCTTCCCAGTCGACCACGGGCCCCCTTGCCCCAAGAATATACCTCACCCTCTGCCAAAGAGAACCCCAAGGAGGGAAAGGGGAGGACCCCAGTCAGCAGGGAGCTGTGCTTGCAGATAGCCCTACTGGCCTCAGGTTCCTCAGCCCTGAACATGACCCCCTTTTTTGCCCTTGGAGTACCCTCAAATCACCTGCTCCAATGGCTACAGTGAAAGCATCCCCGCAGGCTACCATCGAGATCTTGATGCCCTGGAGGCCTTGGACTTGAAAAGGTGCCCGGCTGACTCTGCGGGCACTGGTGCCCAGCTGGCCATGCTGGTTGCTGCCGAAAGCATAGCACTGGCCGGAGGCTGAAGGGGTGAGAGCAAGGGCAGCGGAATGCTATGGGCCCACGGAGCCCCCAAGCTCGGTGGAGCGCAGCGCCCGGGGCCCCTTACCAGTCACTGCTGCAGAATGAGCTGTGCCCAGGTCCACACTCAGCAGGGGCTCCTGGTCCAGGGGGGCAGAGCCCAGAGGTGTGAAAATCAGGGCCTCCTCCACTTGCTGATCTGGGACAGGCTCCTCCCCAAGGGAGAGGTGGTCCAGGCCCAGCTTATTGAACCTGAGGACAGAGCCAGAAACCAAATCCCACTGGCAGAATTTGTAAAGACTATCCCACTGCATCTGTCCAGGCAGAACAAGTCCCACCCTGAGCTAAATGCTTGTGCCCCGCCCCCAGATCTGGTCTCACCTGGCACCAGAGACCAGGGAAGGAGGGTGCATGCTGGTCCCATTGGTACTCAGTTTACCTGTTGCTCCCACAGGCCAGGGCCCGGCCAGGCACAGTGAGAATCATGGAGGAGTCAATGCCGCATATAACCCGCTGAGCTTCCTGTCCTGGGGGCACGGACACCTGCTGGGGGCAGCTGTGGGACTCTCTGGTGCCAAGTCCCAACCGGCCTACAAGGAGATGCCACCAGGATGGTTTAAGGGCTGGGGTCCCGGATGAAGAGGACATACAAAGAGGCGGGATTAGCCTGGGTGATCCTAGGCGGGATTAGCCTAGCACTTGTACCTCACAGGCTATCTGCCACCTCACCCACTACAGGCATTCCTCGGGTTCCCACACTTCTGATTACTGGGTGGAGTCCTGAGGCTAGTTGTCCCCTCAGGTGGAGTCCTGAGGCTAGGTGTCCCCTCTGATGCTGGACGGTGTTAATCCCACACACACACTAGACTAAAAAGAACCCCACTGAAGGGACCAGAGGATAATACAAGCGGGTAGGGTGCTTGCCTTGCATGCAGCTGAGCCAGGTTCGATACCTGGTACTCCATGTGGTCCCCTGAGCACCGCCAGGAGTGTTCCCTGAGCACAGCACCAGGAGTAAGCCCTAAGCACTTCTGGATGTGGCAAAAATAAATTTTAAAAAAATTTGGGGGGGGGGGCGCTAGAGTGATAGCACAGCAGGTAGGGCATCTGCCTTGCACGCGGCCGACCCAGGTGCGATTCCCAGCATCCCCTAAGGTCCCCTGAGCACCGCCAGGGATAATTTCTGAGTGCAGAGCCAGGAGTGACCCCTGTGCATCGCCGGGTGTGACCCAAAAGGTAAAGGTAAAGGTAAAGGCCCTCCCATTGATCATCGATTTGCTCGAGCGGGCCCAGTAACGTCTCCATTGGAGACTTTGTTGTTACTGTGTTTGGCATATCGAATACGTCACGGGGAGCTTGCCAGGCTCCGCTGTGCAGGCGAGATACTCTCGGTAGCTTGCCGGGCTCTCCGAGAGGGGCGGAGGAATCAAACTCGGGTCGGCCATGTTGGCTGCGTGCAAGGCAAACGCCCTATTGCTGTGCTATTGCTCCAGCCCAAAAAGAAAAAAAAATTGGGGGGGCCACTCCCAGCGATGCTCAGGGGTTACTCCTGGCTCCGCACTCAGGAATCATTCCTGTTGGTGCTTGGAGGACCATAGGAGATGCTGGGAATCGAACCTGGGTTGGCCACATGCAAGGTAAATGCCCTACCCGCTGTGCTATCGTTCCAGTCCCAAAATTTAAAAATTAAAAAAAAAAAAAAACCACTGGGGACTGGAGCGATAGGACAGGGGTAGACCCGGGTTCTATTCCCAGCATATGGTCCCTGAGCACCACCAGGAGTGATTCTTAAGTGCAGAGCCAGGAGTAATCCCTGTGCATCACCAGGTATGACCCAAAAAGACAAAAAAAAAAAAAAAAGATATCTCTAGTTTCAATGTTAACAGAGAAAACAGCAAAAAATATTGGATGAGAGCCAAAGAGAGGCACCAGGTTCTGGAGTGAAAAGCTATCCTTGTGGGACTCCAGGTTCAATGCCCAGTACCATACAAGCCCCCGAACACCAGAGGATTGACCGCTAAGCACTGCCACTGTGGCACCCCACCAAAAAACATACGGTGTTCTACGAAGTCTCCTTCATAATGTCAAAAGTATATCAATGGATCAGAGAAATAGTACAGCGGGCACTGTACTTGCATTGTACACAGCCAACTCTGTTCAACCTCAGCACCTTTGTAGTTCCCTGAGCCCCTCCAGGAGTGATCCCTGAATGCAGAGCCAGGAGCAAGCCCTAAGCACAGTTAGATGTGGTCTGGAAACCAAAAAAAAGGGAAGTGACTTTTTTTTTTAATTTAGCAGTGCTGAATTGGGAAGGGGGTTGGCTTGTGAATCCAATCCAACTCGGGCCCTCATAACTACACACTAGGCAGGTGCTCTACCTCCTTCAACTATTTCCCTTGCCCTAGGAGGTGATAACATATCCAAGTACCCAGCACAGGATGGACATAGAGTGCGTATATGTCAGCAAGGAAGGTTTGAGTGAATAAAAGAAGACTGAGAGATGAGGGAGCAGGGCACAGGCCATGGAGATGGAAGAAACTAATCAGAGCCAAGAGATAGTTCAGCGGAGAGGACACTTGTCTTGCCTGGGGCTGGCCTGGGTTTTATCCCTGGTATCCCATGTGGTCCAGTGATTTCCACCAAGATCCCTAAGTGCAGAGCCAGTGATCTGTGATCCCAGAACACAGAGCAAGGCGTAAGCCCTGAGCACTGCCAGGTGTGGTCCCCAAACCAAAGGAAACAGAAAGGAGCAAATCATAGTTGGGGGCACAGGGCCATGGGGCCCTGAGGCTAGAACAAGAGCAGGGCACTTACCTCCGTCTCCACGGCCCCAGGAAAAGAGTTCTCGCTCAGTGGACAATGCCAGCACGTGAGAGGCGCCGCAGGCTACCTGCACCATCTCATAGCCCAGCAAGGCTTCCACGATGGTGGGCTAGAGAGGAAGGAAAGGGGCAGCAGTGGGTGAGAGGTTGGAACTGGTCCCACGGCCTCCACAGCCCATGGGGGTGCTCAATCCAAGGCCATGTTTTCCACCTGTCTCAACACCCCCATCTGCATCCCTGGGGAAGGGGAAGTGAGAATGGGGGAGTGGAGGTCGGTGTCTTTGTGCACTTTCCCAGAAACCACCCAGGACAGGTGCAGCCTGGGAGGTAGCAGGACCTGTGGTTGCGAGAGATTTCCCGTCTCCCAACTTGGGTATCAGCTCTCAAAAGTGAACCCTCGCTGGCTCTCCACTTCCTCTTCCCCAGAGACACTGGCACCCACCTGGCTGATGTCATTGAGGCTGCCATGGCCTAGGCAACCGTTGCTGCCACTGCCGAAGGTCATAATAATGCCTCGGTCTGCGGTGAGGAGAGAGAGGCTGGGCTGGAGTCTGTGGCCAGCTTGCTTGGTACCTGGGTGCGGGGGTTCTAAGGCCGGTCTCAGGTATCCCAGGCATGCACTTCACACAGAACCACATCCCCAGCCCTAATTAGGCTGCTGTACCTTAGTTTTCCAGACAAGTAAGGAGCATTTAAGGAGCAAGAAACAAATGGAGGCTAGGATGGGAAGAATAGGATGGAGCAGGAAGGGGTGGGGTCACTCCTCCCCATGAGTGCCAGTCTCAGAACATTAGGTTCCAGATCTGCCAGGTACCACCTACCTTCCAGATAACCACCTACCTTCCAGGTCAGTCCTGAACGATAAAGGAGTTTGTGAAAAAAAAGCCTCCAACAAGCAGTTAGAAGCATTAAATGAGTAGTTTGCAAATGGCCAACAACAGGAGAAGGTTGCTCTGGGGGACCTGGGTGGGCATGGCACCCATAGATATAGCCACCCAAGGGGCTCACCGGTCAGGCAGGCAGTGAAAAGGTCACCACAGGCCACGTGCTTGATGGTCACCCCCGACTGGCCCTCCAGGAAGCGGGAGATGAACTGGGGCTGCGGCTGCTCCACTGCCCCTGGCAGGAGGGCACCCCCTCCAGCGCCTAGGGGTGGGGCCTGCAAGAGGGTAGAGCAGGGGTGCGCAGGGCTCCCACACTCCAGCAACCCCGAGCCCCGCTCCACCACTGGGGCCATCGGGGACCCCCTCCCCGCCTACTCACCTCCCACAAGATGAGGCGTCCCGAGCGCGTGACTCCCGCTTTCTGCGTGCGCCCCGTTGCCACCTGGACCACCTCGGTGTTGAGCATCGGCAGGCGCAAAGGGGTGCTGAGCCCGCCCCCCCAAGCGTATACGGAAGAGAGTGGGGGCGGAATGGCAGGGCGAGCGGGTCCCCGGGGAATGCCTGCGGAGACAGGGCAGGGCAGTGCCTCAGGCCGAGCCACGGGTAAGGACTGGAGGTACAGGACCCCCCCCCCCCACTCACCCCTGCAGCGGGCACTGGTGCTCCTGCTCCCGGTGCTGCTCAGGGCCAGGGGTGGTCCAGTGGTCAAGGGCTTCTCCGCCCTGCCAGGCAAAAGGGGCCTCAGGACACGGCCCTCCGCAGCACCCTCACATGCAGGGGTGGAGAAGCTGCCCCCAAGCACCTCTCTGCCCTAGGCTCCCCGTGTTCCCCCGGGGCTGCCCCGTCCCACCCTGCACGCCCTGCACCCGCCTCCTCATGCGCACGCTGCCCACATCGGTGTGGAGGTTGAGGAGCGCACGGATGCAGAGGGGCTGGGCCATGATGTGACTGAGCGGTGGTCGCTGGGAGGGCTCCAGGCTGAGCAGACTCAGGACAAGCTGGCGCAACTCAGGGCTGTACCGGTCAGAGATGGGGGCAAAGGTGCCACTCATGATTTTCAGCACCAGCGCTGGCAGGTTCTGCCAAGACACCAAGTTTAGGGTTGACGAAGCACTCAAAGTGGGCTCTGGAGGCGGCACAGCTGGCCCATGCCCTGAAGGGGTCAGCCCTGCCTTCAGGAGCCTTAGCTTGATTAGGATGCCCAGCATGACCGGGCTCCAGGTCAGCTCGCTTGCTTACTTGCTTCTTTTGGTTTCTGGGTCACACCTAGCTGGGCTCAGGTCTTACTCTCGGTGGGGCTTGGGGAACCATTATTCAACCTGAGTCAGCCCACATGCAAGGCAAACGCCTTGCTTGCCCTTTGTACTCTCTCTCAGAGAGTATGAAACCTACTTTCTTAACCCCATGGGGCCAGAGAGAGCACGGCGGATAGGGTGACTGCCTTGCACAAGGCTGACCAGGGTTCGATCCCTGGCATCCTATTCGGTCCCCCGAGCACCATCACTCCTGAGTGCAGAGCCAGGAATAACCTGAGCAGTGCCAGGTATTGGAAAAGAAAAACAAAACCAAAAAAACTTAGTCCAGGGGACAGAGCATTAAAACTGAGGGCAGGACACTTGCCTTGATGTGTGCAACCTGGATTAGATTCCCGCTCCCCACCAGGATCTGTGAAGGACTCTGGAGCCAGGAGCGATCCCTGAGCTGCAGACATCAGGAGTTAAGTCCTGAGTACAACTGGGTGTGGCCCAAACACAAAAACAAGAACCCCTAATCTGACTGGGGAGATAACTCGATGGGCTGGAGTGCATACTCCAAGGCGGAAGGCCTGGGTTCCACTTCTCCAACTACATGGTTCCAAGCATTGAGCCATGATGAACTCCTGAGCACACTGAGGTGTGACCCAAACGCCCCCCAAAAAGAACCCCTATCCTGACAGAAGCTGTTGCTAAATCCTTAGAAATTCTGGCTTGAGGGAGTACAGCAGGTAAGGCACTTGCATTGCTCATGGCTGACCCAGATTCAATCCCCGACACCACATCTTGTCTCCCGAGCACAACAGGGTATGAAAAAGAAAAGGAAAGAAAGAAGTGGGCTGGCAAAATAGTGCAGCAGGTAGGGTGTTTGCCTTGCATGCAGCCAACCCAGGTTCGATTCCTGGCACCCCTTATGGTTCCCTAAGTTCCACCAGGAGTGACCCCTCAACGCAGAGTAAGGCCTGGAAAAAACCGAGTGTGGCTCGATAATGACAAAATAAAAAATGGAAAGGGAAGGAATTCTTGCCATTAGGAGAGTTCCCTAATTTGAGGGGAGAGCCCCAACCTCAAGAGCCCTCAGTTTAATGGCGTAACCCAAGCCTAGCCCGCAGAAACCCATAGTCTGAAAGAAACCACAACCCTGCCTTGGGGTGATCTGCCAGTCTGATGAGGGAGGAATGACTCAACCATAAGAGGAAAAACACCATAAGTGGGGGCTGGAGCCTTTGTGGGGAGGGAAGGAGGGAGAGTTCCTCTGTGTCCCTATTTGTCCCCTTGGGGGTGCTTATACTCACTGCAGCCTCGAAGGCCCGCTTGAGGCTGGCCAGCTCATAGAGCACACAACCCAGGGCCCAGATGTCACTCTTCTGGTTGTAGGGCTTGCCCTCGCACAGCTCAGGGGAGATGTAGCATGGGGTACCGACCACCTACAGGAGGGGATCTGAGGTCACTGCACTGGGGAAGGCAGCCCACTGGAGACAGCCTCCCCCTGAAGAACCACCGGGGTTCGGGACAAAGGTTGGGGGACTTGGGGGGTAGGATAACAGAGGAATACAGACAGGCCCTCAGCTCTCCAGCCCTCGCCCCCAGGTCCCTCCCCCTGCCCAGGCACCGTGTAGGCTTTGCTCTTGCTGCTCAGGATCTTGGAGATGCCAAAGTCCCCAATCTTGACAACCATCCGGTGTTTATCGAGAAGGATGTTTTGGGTCTTAAGGTCCCGATGCAGGATGAGGTGGGTGTGCACGTGGTGTAGTGCGAGCAAGATCTGCACGAAAAAGTGCAGGATGGTCTCCTCCTCCAGCAGGGAATTACAGCGCTTCTGGATGAACTCTGCCAAGGTGCCACCTGCAGCACAGGGACCAGTCCACTCCCAGCAGGGGCCAGGGATGAGGCTCAGTGGTAGAGCACTAGCCTTGCACGTGTGAGAACCTGAGTTCCATCCTGGCAGCAAAAGCACACACGTGCACACACAGATACACAGACACACTTATAGACACACACACACACACACACATCTATTAAATATTTGGAACCAAGTTTTCTTCTATGAGATTAAAGGTGCAGAGAACGCAAGAGCTTACTGGTGTCACAAAACTGTCAGAGATCAGGGGGAGAGAGAGAGAGAGAAAGAGAGAGAGCGCCTGATGGGTCAAGCACTTGCTTTGCATGAATAAGGTCCAGGTTTGAACCCTCAGCACCGCATGGTCCTCTCTCAGCACTGCCAAGAGTGATCCCCAAGCACCAAGCTAAGAGTAGCCCCTGAGGGCTGAAACAATAGCACAGTGGGTAGGGCGTTTGCCTTGCATATGGCCAACCCAGGTTCAATTCCCAGCATCCCATATGGTCTCCTGAGCACTGCCAGGGGTAACTCCTGAGTGCAGAACTAGAAGTAACCCCTGTGCATCGCCGGTGTGACCCAAAAAGAAAAAAAAAAAAAGAGTAGCCCCTGAGGACCACCAGTGAAAGATCCTTGGAGCCACAAGTCAATGCTAGAGGTCCTACCTGGTGCATATTCCATAGCAATCATGAGGGCCTTGTCCTCCAGGAAGTTCTCATAGTACTCAATGACATTGGGGTGGTTGAGCAGTTTGAGGACCTGGCACTCATTCTGGGCTGCCTGCCGCTCTTCCTTGGTCATCTGCTCCACTGGGATCTGCTTGATGATCACCAGTTTCTGGTCAGCCTTGCGCAGGCATAGGTGCACGATCCTGATACACAGAGGAAGGGCGTGGGCGCCAGCTGAGCCTCCAGCCATAGCTCAGGAAGGGCTGACACACTGCCCTGATGACTGGATATTCATTTTTTTATATGGGGTGGGGATTAAACTCAGGGACTCACACAAGCTAACTATGTGCTCTACTGCCGAGTTCCATCCCTAGTCCTGCTTACTACTAAGGTAAGTGGACTACATCAGCTCTTAACTGGGTTTGGGAATGGGGAGAAGTGTTCAAAGATATAAAAGACATCCAATAAGCCACAGAACTCTGGATTTTTTTTTCTTTTTGGGTCATACCTGGTGATGCTCAAAGGTTACTCCTGGCTCTGCACTCAGGAATTACTCCTGGCAGTGCTTAGGGAACCATATGAGATGCCGGGGATTGAACCCGGATCGGCTACGTGCAAGGCAAATGCCCTACCAGCTATACTATCGCTCTGGAGTCTGCCACAGAACTCTTCTGAGACTCAGTTTCACCACAGCTCCAGGGGCTAGTCTTTATCTCTCTGGATACCCACAGACTGTAGTTAACTATTCAGGTACAAAGCCTGGCTCCTCCTCATACTAGTTCTCTGGTCCTGAATTATGTGACGTCATCAACTGGAAAACAAAATTGACCTCATATGGTTATGGTGTGGATCAGATGAGAAAATGCCCGTAAGGTTATTTCCACAGGACTGAGTCCATCAAAAGTGCTCCTTCATTTGAAGAGTGATGAGTGGACACGATTCCTATTGTTTTAGTCCAATTCTGGTCAGTGGTCGTAAAACCTGGGCACTTGTTCCTTCTTGCTCTCCCTCCCCATGCACAGCTCCCAGGCTTTAATACAGCAAAGATGCTAAGTAACTGCTGAATGTTTTCTTTTTTGTTCTGGGCTCACTCCCAGTTTGGTGCTCAGGGCTTGGTTCTAGATGAATTCAGGGGACCAAGTGGTGCCTGGGATAGATGCCAGGCCCCCCACATGTATGTACATGCTCTAGCCTTCTGAGCTATCTTCTGACCCAGTAACTGCTGAATGAACCATAAAATGATGATCCAAATCTGTTTTCCCTCCCTCCCTCCCTTCCTTCCTTCCTGCCACACCAGTGGTGATTAGGGCTTAAGGACTCCTGCTCAGGGATTACTCCTGATGGCACTTGGGGGACAACATGGGGTCCTAGGGACTGAACTCAGGTTAGTCATGTGTAAGATAAGCGCCCTACCCACTGTACAAGCTCTCTAGCCCCAAGTCTCAAATTTTATTTTTTTTAATTTTGTTTTTGTTTTGTTTTGTTTTTGCTTTTGGGGGCACACCCAGCCGATGCTCAGGGGTTATTCCTGGCTCTGCACTCAGAAATCACTCCTGGCGGTGCTTGGGGGACCATATGGGATGCTGGGAATCGAACCCGGATTGGCCGTGTGCAAGGCAAACACCCTACCCGCTGTGCTATTGCTCCAGACCCTCTTTTTTAATTTTGGACCATACCTTATCATACTCAGGACTTACTCAGCTCTGCACTCAGAGTTCACTCCTGGTGGGCTCTGAGGATCACAGGGAATGCCAAGAATCAAACCCAGGTTGGCCAGGTTGGCAAGGCAAGTGCCCTACCCACTGTACTACTATTGCTTAGCCCTCCCAAATCTCAAATTGCTATCTCCAACTCAAACCTCCCCAAGATCTAGACTTGTAAATCTGAAACCAGAGAGACAGTACTGCTGGTAGGCACTTGCCTTATACAAGGCTGATCCAGGTTCGATTCCCAGTACCACATATGGTCTCCCAACCCTGCCAGGAGTAAACCCTGAGCACTGCTGTGTGTGGCCCTAAAAATAAAACAACCATGGGGCTGGAGCAATAGCACAGCAGGTAGAGTGTTGGCCTTGCACCCGGCCGACCCGGGTTCGATTCCCAGCATCCCATATGGTCCCCCGAGCACTGCCAGGAGTAATTCCTGAGTGCATGAGCCAGGAGTAAACCTTATGCATTGCAGGTTGTGACCCAAAAAGCAAGACAAAACAAAACAAAAATAAAACAATCAAAAATAACAAAACCAGGAGCCGGAGCAATAGTAGAGTGAGTAGGGTGTTTGCCTTGCTTGAGGCTGACTCAGGTTCAATCCCCAGCATCCCATATAGTCCCCCAAGCACTGTCAGGAGTTAATTCCTGAGTGCAGAGCCAGGAGTAACCCCTGAGTATCACTGGGTGTGACCCATAAAGGAAAAAAAAAAACTAAAACCAGACTTGTATATCCAATTACTCTTTTGGCATCAACATCCAAGCAGCTCACAAGCACTCTAAGAGTAAAAGAGTAAAGAGTAAAGGCCCTCCCGTTGATCGTCGATTTGCTCGAGCGGGCCCAGTAACGTCTCCATTGGAGACTTTGTTGTTACTGTGTCTGGCATATCGAATACTCTCGGTAGCTTGCCAGGCTCTCCGAGAGGGGCAGAGGAATCGAACTCGGGTCGGCCATGTTGGCCGCTTGTAAGGCGAACGCCCTACTGCTATGCTATCGCTCCAGCACAAGCACTCTAAATCTTAGCAAATTAAAAAATAAAACTGTGCTGAAGAGATAGTACAGGAGTTAAGGCTCCTGCTTTGCACAAGGCTGATCCTGGTTTTTTGTTTCTTGTTTGCAAGGCAAGTGCCTTACCTACTATACTATCTCTCCAGCCCCCAGGCTTAAACCCTGAGCACTGCTAGGTGAGTCCCTACCCCACACAAAAGTAAATAAAAAATTAAACTTTTGGCTTGCTCTTTAAGCCCCTTTTCTCCCTTAAACAGGTATCTCACTTGCTTGTCTGTTTCTTTGCTTGCTTACTGAGAGCTTGCCTTCCCTCTTGAACAGGTTCTTTTCCCTTTCTCTGCCTTCAAATGTTTATTTATTTATTTTGCTTTTTATAAAAAACCAGCTCCCGGAATATGCGGCCGTGCGACATCTTATTATGACATCTCATTCCTACTTTGACAAACTGGCAGGCTACCGAATGTAGCCTGCCCAAACGGCAGAGTCTGGCAAACTCCCCGTGGCGTACCCAATATGCCAAATACCAGTAACAATGATGGGTCTCATTCTCCTAAAGACCCTTGAATATAACCTCAGGGCCAGGATGAAGGAGACGTTACTGGGGCCTGCTCAAGGCAATCGATGAATAACAGGATGATTTGTGATTTGTTTTTTGATTTTGCTTTTTAGGTCACACCCAACCATGCACAGGGGTTACTCCTGGTTCATGCACTCCGGAATTATTCCTGGCCGTGCTCCGGGGACCATATGGGATGCTGGGAATTGAACCCGGGTCGGGCCGCGTGCAAGGCAAACACCCTACCCGCTGTGCTATCACTCCAGCTCCTGCCTTCACATCACATCTTTTTAAGTCAGTTTCAAAAAAAAAAAAATAACTACCTTGTTTCACAAAAATAAACTCTTGGGTTGGAAACAGGACAGCAGGTCGGGTGCTTCCTTTGCATGTACTGGACGTGGGATAGATGCCCAGCACCGCCAAGAGTCATCCTGAATGCAGTAAGCCTCCAAGTCCCGAGCACTGCTGGTGTGGCTCAAAAAACCAGAAGCAAATAAATGACTGATCTCCTCCTTCTACTTTTGCAACTTCTTTTGGGGGGTTCTGGCTGACACACCTAGGGGTACTCTGGGGCTACTTTTTAGGGGTCAGGGATCAAACTCTAAGTTCTCACATGCAAAGCATACATTCTACCCTTTTGAGCCATTTCTCCAGTTTTAAATTCACCCTCTTTATCTCAACCATGATTTGGTGCCTGCCCTCTGAAATCATATTTTATATAATAATTCTTACCCATTACTTTCCAACTACTCCTTTTTTTTCTTTTTCTCAGTTCCCTTGAACAGTCGGAATACTTTCCCACAAGAGGAACGTCTCATATCCTGTTTCCTCTGCCTTCACCTTCAAGCTTGTGGCTTTCATTTCTTAACTTTGGCTTGTTTTGTTTTGTTTTGGGGCTACACCCTGCTTTAAGCTCAGGGGTCACTCTTGGTGTGCTCCAGGAACGATGCAGTGTTGGAGACTGGGCCTCAAATCCCGGCCTCCTCAGCACAAAGGATGCACTCACTGAGCACTTTCCAGCCTTTCTTCTTTTTTTTTTTTTACTTTTTGGGTCACACCTGGTGATGCACAAGGGTTACTCCTAGCTCTGCACTCAGGAATTACTCCTGGTGGTGCTCAGGGGACCATAGAGGATGCTGGGAATCAAACCGGGTCAGCCACGTGCAAGGCAAACGCCCTACCCGCTGTGCTATGGCTCCAGCCCCTCTCCAGCCCTTTTCATCCCTTAACTCTTGGATTTGGGGTTTGGGGGACAGGAGTCACAACCGACAGCGCTCAGATATTACTCCTGATTCTGTGCTCAGGGATCACTCCTGGCGGGGCACAAAGTTCCACGTGGGCTGCCCAGAATAAAACCCAGTCAGCCGTGTACAGGACAAATGCCTTATCCCTGTTCATCTCTCCAGTCCCTGTTTCACCTCTCCGGGCTGGAGCGTTCCAAGCCTGGTTCGTTTCCTGGCATCCCATACACTCCCTCCAGGAGTGATCCCTGAGCACAGATATAAGGAGTTAAGTCCCGAGCAATTCTGGGTGTGATCCAATAAACAAAACAAAAACCCACGCCCCGGAGTTTTCCTTGACCGCTTCCAGATACTCCGTGGTGGTGCTTTAGCAATTTGCTTAATTTTCCTATATTCTGTAACCTCCGAGAAAGAAGACCACACCTATTTTGGTCTTAACTGTTTACCCAGCCTGGAGCGCCTGACAGGTAGACTTGGCGCTGTTTGTTGAGTGAGTCAGAGAGCGAAGGCTTGGAACACTGCGGGGGCGCGCGGCTGCGGGGGGGCGTGACCGGCTCAGAGGCGGAGCCGCCAGCGCGGACCGGGAGCGGAAGCCTGGGCGGAGCTACCCGGGGCGAGCGCGAGCGCCACGGGACGCGGCCGGCCGGGCGGGGACTCGGCCGTCAGAGTCGGGGCTTCTTTTCCTCTCCCCGAGCAGCTTCCTCCCCCACCCAGAGCCCCGGCTCACCCGAAGGCACCTCTGCCCACCACTCGGATCCGCTCGTACTTCTCCATCTCATTTCTCAGTCACGTTTCCGGAGCCCCCCAGCCCTGACGTGGCGCGTGCGCGGACACGCCCACCGCGCCCCGCCCACCTCGCGGGCACGCCCACCCGCGCCCGCGCCGCACGCTCTCGGCGGGGCGGGGCGGAGTCGAGGCAGCTGCCTGCGAGTTCCACCTCGCGTCTGTCCGCGCGGATTTGCGCTGCCCTGCAGCGCTGCCCCGCCGCCTTGTTTTCCACAGTCAACGGAGTTTGGGCGACACGCCATTTCCTGGCACGCTCCCTAACGGCCAAGCACCACCGTGCCGGAGACTTGACCGTGCGGGCTACTTTGTCACACGGCGTAGCCGCCACCGGGCCTCCCGGCAAAATTTTCTTAAGACTTGAGGGGTGCCCAGCTCGGGCCAAGAGAGTGTGAGAAACTGAGGACTGACCTCTCTCCGCCCGCCCCTTTGCGAAGTAATGACGCTGTTTCGGCAGGAGGGAGCAGGTTCCTGGCACGCGAATAGGAAACAACCAAAACTGAACCGAGAGTGTCAAGAGTTCGAGCCGGGTTAGTTTCGTGTTTGTCTAGGGAGGAACCGGGGAAATCCCGGGCTGTGCAGGCTGATCCCAGGACGTGCCACTGTCTGCTGGCTGTGCCGGCTAGAGAGCTCGTCGACGCCCCCTTGCACACACACAAAGCGGCTGCAGGGTCAGCCGCCCAACGCTCTGCTAGGCAGCACGCCCTTGGAGGGAAGTAGACTAATGTCCGAGGGCGAAGCGGGAAGAGCCGTTTGGAGTGCTAGGGGCTCAAGGAATCTACCCAGAGGCAGGGGGCTGGTGAGTAGGGCTGTTCGTGCTTGACCCGAAACAAGTTTAATTCCGGTTCTTCACGGGCTCCATAAAAGTTCCTTGGAGAAGCAGCAGGGATATGATTCGGTTAGGGCTAGCGTCAGTCTTTCTGAGTGGGTGGGAGATGTCGGGAGAGGGATGTTTATCGCTGCTCCCATCCCACCCCTCGAAAAACTGCCCAAGTGGAACGACGGCTCGAAAGACCCCAGGAGGACCCCGTGGCCGCTGGCTCAGGCCGGCGCCGGCTGGCGGGCAAAGCTGCTCTGCCCGCTTCGGGAAGCGCAGGGGGCAAAGGCGCTCACCCGGGACACTCGTGCTCTCGCCTAGAAACCGATCGGCCTTGGCTGACCCGGGAGCCCCACAGGGGTTAATGTGTAACCTTGGAGGCATCTGGGGAGGCAGAGCAAACACTCCAGCCGCACGGTGCCTGGCTCTCCGGCGCCTCGCGCTTTCGGCTTGGCCTCCCCTCGCGGGGCGGCTTCGTAGGCCGCCCGTTCCACTCCCTCCCCCCACTCCCCCGAGTGCTCCTCTCTTCCCGCCCTCCCCGACTCTCCCCAACCCCCACTCCCCGCTGCTCCTCCACGGTTCGCGGGAGTCCGGCTAACTCCCTCCTCCCGCCCGCCGCCCCGAGCTTTCCCTTGGAGGCGGGAGATGATGCCGCGCTCCGGCGAGGACAGGCTGACACCTAGTGGCCTCGAGCTGCAACTACTCCGAGGCGCTGGCCTGAAAGAATGAGGGTCAGTCACTTCAGCAGCCTGGGCAAAGGGACCGCCTCCCTCGCCCCTGCCTCCAGGGAGCGGGAGAAGAGAGCAGGGACCGGGAGGGAGGATTGTGACAAACGCTGCGCCTCGGGCGGCCGGGCGCGGGCTGGGGAGGGGCGGTGACGGGTTACTCGGCAGTTTCTAGGCACCGACCCCGTGCGGGCACAGCGCAGGCAGGTAAACAGGTCCGTGCGCGGCCTGAAGAAACTCAAGAGATGCGGGGACCCACGGATCTGGGACGAGATCAAGGTTCGAGGCTGGGCTCCGGCCCCCCTCGGAGACCAGGGCTAGGAGGACGTGGGTGTGTGACGGGTTCCGCCCAGCACTGACCAGAAAGGAGTGGAGGGCGGAGAGTTCTCGTCGTACCCGCCCAGGCGGGGGAGCCAGTGGCCCCGGGGAAAGTGGGGACGCGGGTTTACGAGGCCGGGCAAGCGAGGCGGGACTCCATCGGCGGCCGGGAGGCGCCGGCTAGGGGTGCCCAAGCGGCGGCGCCCGGGGCACGGCCCCTTTTCGCCCGAGTCCGCCGGAGCAAGGCGGGGCCCGGGCGGCCCCCGGGAAAAGGCGCTCGCGCCCCCGGCGCGGCAGAGGCGCCGGAGAGGCGGGGGCAGGCGGCCGGGGCGGGGCCGGGGCGCGGGCGGCGGGGGGCGGGGGCAGAGGCCCGCGGGGAGGGGACGGGAGGAGCCAAGGGGCCTAGAGGGCTCCGCGAAAACCGGGAGGCTGGCGGCGGGCGGGAGAGGCGGCGGGCTCCGAGTGGTCCGAGAAGTCCCATTCTCTGAACTGCCCCAGGAGACCGCCTAGCGGGCGGACAAACGGACGGGCGGGAGGGCCAGCATGCCCCCTCTGTTGCACCCCGCCCTGCCGCTGATCCTGGCCGCCACGCTGACCTTCCGGGCGCTGCGGCGCGCGCTCTGTCGCCTGCCTCTGCCCGCGCACGTGCAAGCCGACCCCCTGCGCACCTGGCGCTGGCATAACCTGCTCGTCTCCTTCGCCCATTCCATTGTGTCAGGGATCTGGGCGCTGCTGTGGTGAGTGAAGGACCGGGGAAGAGTCGGTGGCTTTGGGGATCCCGCGTTCCTTTCTTTATCATTCCCCGGCCGGCCGAAGCCGAGCCATCTCACCTGATTCCCTGTTTGGAATGCTAACCAACCAGGAGTGGCAGTGGCCCGGGGGAGGGGGAACTCATCTGGGAAACGGGAGACACCTGGGTGGCCGCCAAGCCCCTCCTCGATCCCCAGTGAGCCAATCGCGCCAGCCCAGGCTCCCCCGGGACTGGCCAGGGTCACGGGAAAGCGGAGGGTCTCTGGGAAAGCCTGGAAGAGGAGCGCCTGACTTCTTTCCCTTCCAGTATATGGCAGACCCCCGAAATGTTGGTGGAGATTGAAGCTGCGTGGTCGCTTTCCGGCTATTTGCTCGTTTGCTTCTCCGCAGGTAAGTTTTGCCCAAGAAACGTTTCATTTGCGGGAGGAGGGGTACGACACTCTACGACAGTCCCTTTCCTGACCTCTCCCGTCCCTCCGCTAGGCTACTTCATTCACGACACAGTGGACATCGTGGTTAGTCACCAGACGCGAGCTTCTTGGGAATACCTGGTCCATCATGTCATGGTGAGCAGCGGGGATCCTAGCTGCCTAAGCCCTTCCAAGCCCGGAGAGATGCGCGGGTGGTGAGATGCGCCTTTCCCCAACCCCAGTTCCACCCAGTGCCCTACATTTATTTCCTCATCTGGCATGAGCTGCTGCCGTGGGCTCCCTGCTTGAGGCCACTAATGACCTCATTTAGATCACCTCAGACTGGAAACCCCACCCAGAGCCAGAACCTGTGTGTAGGCTGGGACCACAATTGAATGGGGGAGAATCCATATGAACTATTTCAGAAGGAAAGTGAATTCTCTGGCCCTCTTGTGGGAATAGGTGGTACTCCCAGAAACTTTCAGTAGTCAATTCTGATTTTTTTTAAGATTAAACCTTTTTTTCAACTGTTTCCTAGGCCATGGGTGCCTTCTTTGCAGGCATCTTTTGGAGCCGCTTTGTTGGTGGTGGTGTCTTAACACTGCTGGTGGAGGTCAGCAACATCTTCCTCACCATCCGCATGATGATGAAGATCAACAATGCCCAGGATCACCTCCTTTATCGAGTCAACAAGTATGTCAACTTGGTCATGTACTTTCTCTTCCGCCTGGCTCCTCAGGCCTACCTTACCCATTTCTTCCTGCGTTATATTGGCCAGAGGACACTGGGTACCTTTCTGCTGGGTATCCTGCTAATGCTGGATGTCATGATCCTCATCTACTTTTCCCGCCTCCTCCGCTCTGACTTCTGCCCTCAACTTGTCCCCAAACGGCAACACAAAGACAAGTTCTTAACTGAATGAGAGGCACAGAAACTGGGACTGGACTTGTGGCAAGGACAGCAGTAAACCAAGCTTGGGACCTGCCTTCTACCTTTCAAGCCTGCACCCATTATTGAAAACACTAATTAATGAAAGAACGCCTCTGAAGTCCTTGTCCTTTCTTGGGCAAGGGTGAGGGAAGCAGACAGACCGGTTGTATAGAAGGGTGTGGGGACCAGGTCTACTTAAAACCACCCAACCCACACAACCCTGAAAAGGATGCTAATGAAAACTTGGTATTGGTGCCATGGGATGCACACTTTGCTTCCAGGAAGTGAGTGTTCCCCCAAAGCCAGTGGGGGGAGCAACTTGAGTATTGCCTGGGATAAAGGTCCTAACAGCTTAGCACAGCAGATAGGGCATTTGCTTTGACCCAGGTTCAATCCCTAACACCCCAAAAGGGTATCTGGTAAAGTACAAAGCACTGCCAGGTGTCCCCACCCTGCCTCCCCAACAAAAGAACAAGCTCCTACCCTCATGAATTTAACATGTAGGCTGAGGATGGACTGAAATATTCTAAGTGAGAACCAAAGATCCTGCCTTAACTGTTTCTTAAGTGTATATCACGACGGGCTCTCTCCAACCCAACCAGAAATTCACACCAAGAAGCATATATATGGTGGAAAAGAAATTGTATTTAGGATTAGCCAGCTGGACTGTTTAGATGATCCCAATCTGAAAAACAAAAAGGAGCTTTGTTACTGGGAGCTGAGAAAGATGTGAAGATTAAGTTGGAATGTCATGAGAATGAGGACATGGTAAAACAAGGCAGGTGGATAGTTAAAACTGATCAGCAAGTATCAGACTTTGATCATTCAAAGTGGGTAAGATGGTGGGCAATGAGTTTGTATCAGGAAGCTTACTTTGTTGGCAACATCCAAGGCGTCATAATCAGGAGCCAGCCGAACATACGCCTTTTTCTCTCCATCAGGCCTGGGTGGAGAAGAAAACCTTGGTCTATACTAGCCCTTCTGTCCCCGTAGTCCTCCATGATTAACCTTGTCTCCAGCGCATCAGTGGTTCCTTTGTTGATGTCATTCTTTTCCAAATAGCTATTTTTCCATCACTTGCGCAGAGAATAGGAGGGAAGCCACACAGCCATTTATTTCTAGGGCATGGGATGGAACCCAGGGCCTCTTTAGGCAAAGCATAGGCTCCAGCCCAATGTGAGTTATTTAGTAGGAAATAACTTCTAGGAACTTAATATTTGGTTAATTTTATGTAATTTTACTCCTGGAAATAGGGAAACCAAGAAAAATGAGCACCAATTTGTCCTTTTCACCATCAGATAGCTTCACTTAATAAATGCTCTCTTCCAATAAACTTTTATTGAAATTACCAGCAAGAAAAATTTCAACTATACAACAATCTTCTCTTCGCCGTATCACTTTAACAAACTACCGTGCATGTGGTGGTGAAGTCTATCCAGTGTGACATCAAGTACGTGTGAGCCACTGAAGGCATGTGCAGCATCGACCTGTTAACCAAGTCTTGTAATACCTATCACACCATCAAGGAATTTTAAAACTTCAGGTTTCAGGCCAGAGCACATGGGCAACCTGGGTTTGATCCCTGGCATCCTATACAGTATCCGAAGCCATCCAGGAGCAATGCAAGTGCAAAGCCAGTATTAAGCCCCGAGCATTGCCCGATGTGGCCCAAAAACGCGGTGTCTTGTCTCTTGGGGCCCCACTCACCTAATCAGGGTGTTGACCTTGGCTACATCAATGTCATAGAGCTTCTTCACTGCCTGTTTAATCTGGTGCTTGTTGGCCTTGACATCCACAATGAACACAAGTGTGTTGTTATCTTCTATTTTCTTCATGGCTGACTCAGTAGTCAGAGGAAACTTGATGATGGCATAATGGTCAAGCCTGTGAAAGAATTAAAATGGGGTTACCTGGCCTAGGCCTAGAATAAAGGTCCCAATCTCAGAACCCCAAAGTGAGCAGAGGCCAGTTGCATCAGACACTGAGTAGCAATCACTTTTCTCAGACTTTGGTCGCTTAATAGTGTCATCATCTGCACCCTGAAATCAGGGTTCTGAAGCCTCATGGGGGTTGGGGGTGCAGCACGCAGAGCAGGTCCCATTCTTTTACTTCAAGATCTTTCATCCTTTATTTTTTGTCCTGGGAACCATATACGGCCCCAGGAATTGAACCCGGTTGGCCAAATGCAAGGCAAAGTGATCTACCCAATTTACTATTCTCCAGCCCCTGAAGCAATTTTAAATAAAACATTAAACAGCTTACCCCAAGAGCAGAAAGATAGCAAAATCTTGAAACCTGAACTAGGCCTCTAGAGAAGTGATGTTTCAAGGTTAGACGGACCAGTTCTCTTCCCTTTGGTTGCTGCTGCAGGTTGACTTCAACTGAAGCCCATCAATTCTTGGAATCTCCTTGCTTAACGCTCAAAGCATCTCTCAACTAAATTCCCAGTCCAAACTACAAAGAAAAGCTTACCCAGAAATTTTCTTCACAGACACAACCTATTCAACTTCTGAGAAAGCAGTAAGATCTATTCACTGGCAGCAATTAATACCACTGCCATGGCTCTACTCTGCTCATTTTTGGTCGAACCCAGCAAGTGCAAGGAAAGCACCCCATTCACTCTGGCCCAAACCTGGTCAGTTATTTATCAAGGTTTGATAAGTAACCTACTTCCTCAGTATCCTAACCTTTTGTTCATCCCCCCTCAAACTGAACCATTCCTTGTATGTAAAAATTTAGTAGAGTGCAAGTTTCCCATACACTGTTGCAAAGGGCTTCATATCCTACATAGACGGTTTCCCTTATCCTCTTTTTACTCTACATCTTTCTCCATTAAAAGCTACACCTGACCTCGCTACTCAAGACCACAGACATCTTCAAATTTAAAGGCTTAGTTTACATCCCCAAGAAAATTAAGTATAAAATCCTGACCAGTATGATCAAAGTTAATTCCGTAGTAATTCAATAATTAACCTTGAAAGTACTGGGGGCGGGGAGAAAACGTCTCCCGTTCTTAAATGTCAATCTCACACCCCTAGTAAAACATCCTAGAGTAGTTGACACTCCTGGTCACACAAACGAGGCCCCGAGTTCGATTCCCGAGGTAAGCACGCTCTCATACAAGTCCCAGGTACACCAATGTGGTATTAATTTCTGGGCCACACCCAATGATGCTAAAGGTTTACTGCTGGCCGTTCTCGAGGAACCACGAGACGCAAGGGATCGCAATCGGGTCCTCTGCGTGCAGAGCAAACGCCCTACCGCTGTATAATCTTTCAGGCCCCACGATCTACAAGTGTAGACTGCTCAGTAACAAGCTCTTAAGCATGCTGTGATACTGACTTGTTTCTCCTGGGGGCGCTCTTCCGAGGGTATTTGGGTTGCCTTCTCAGCCGCAGCGTCTTGGGTCTTCTGAAGGTGGGTGATGTGCGAATCTTCTTCTTTTTCTGGCTGTGGACGCCTTTCAGCACTGCTTTCTTGGCCTTCAAAGCTTTGGCTTTGGCTTCAACTTTGGGAGGGGCAGGGGCTGAGAGAAGAAAAGAACGTAACGTGACTGAGGGGGTAAGGAGGGAGAAACCCCCTCTTTATCCCCGATTACTTCCTGAAGGCCCGAGAGGGCACCTCCAGCCAACCGTGCATCAGTGGTTCCTTTGAAGACATCACAAGTCTCAGGAGGTTAAATTTTTTCCATCATATGCATGGCACGGGAAGAGCAGATAAACTCTTCTAACATTAAAAAACAAAAACTGGCACCGAAGACACTAACTCCTTAAGGTCTTGAAAACATGGTGTTCTAGTCTTTGGCCGCGCGTGCAGCTCTGCAGAACCGACTCCTGCACTCTCCGCTAAATGAGGCCGGTTGGCCCGGCCCGGCCCATGCGGCCAGGCCCACGCGCACCGCGACGTGGCCCAATTTCGAGAAGCCGCCCCGGAGCTGACACCGAGGGGTAGCTAAGCCCAAACGCTGCCCAGCCAGTTCGCTATTCCGAGGGAGGCCCCCGAACAACTAGTTGTGGACCACCCCGGACCCAGCACACACCTTCCTTCTTGGCCTTCGGCGCCATCTTCGTAGAAAGGGTTTCTTATGGCCGTTCCCACGGGCTTATAGAGCGAAGGCGGGCCTAAGACTCGCGATACTTCCTACTGAAATCTGATTGGAGCATCTGTTGACGTGATGCCCGCCGGGAATGGTAGTTAGGGTTGCTTTCCTGAGTGAGGCTAAGCATGCGCACTCCGCCCCCTCGGGCTCCAAAGGTTTTTGGGAGTTGTAGTTTCTGAGAGACACGTGTCTATATGCTCGGGAGGATGGATGGTGCTGTAGCCCAGTGCCATTCGGGTATGGTCCTGAGTGCTTCCCAGTGTGAACGATTTCCTCTCTCAGGAAAAAAAGTTGCACACTTTAGCACTACTAATTGTAATGAATATAGGTTAATGCCAGGAGAGTGCAGTAAAATTCTAGAACGTCTGAGCAGAATCTGTCTGATCCAAATCCCTCTGGCATCTGTGAAAAAAGGTTGGGAGAGTGGAGGTGGCTAATCAGAAAGTTATCTAGGGAGTGGTAGAGAAAGTGGAGTCAGGCGTCCGGGAGAAGCATAGTGTCAGAGGAGTTGTGGGGGTGGTCACATCTTTACCTGCAATAAATTTCATGCATTACCCCGATCGTCGAGGAAATCCACCAAATCTTCCAATCTCCCAGTGCACAGATTTCTCAGATTCGCTGGTTCAGGTGAAGCTTCAGTCAAGTCTCCTCCCTTCTGACAGCGAGCTGACTTGAGCTTCTCCTAAGTTGGCTTCCCTGAGGGTCTGTGGCTATACACCCAATGACTTTGTCTTTCCTTTCCCCTTTGGAAACCAGATTTCCTCTCTGAGGATCTGTCCTCTGTTGTGCACAGCTACAAGCAGTTCTCGGGAGGCACATTCCCCGTGGGGCCAGATAAGAACGACCCGTTTGAGGGGAGCCCCCTGACCCCGAAGCGCTAATCTCCTCAAAGGCTAGAGCCCGGCCTCCCAGCCTTCCTTTCTCCTCCATTGATGGAGACGGCTTGGTCTTCGCCGCCCCTCACCCCCCGCCCCAGTCTCCACTGCAGAGTTGGGAGCGAAACCTACCAGGCTTGGGGCGTCTCATTCTCGGTGGGCACCCCCTTTCCTCGCCCGCCCCCACCTCACACCAGAAGGGCAAGCGGGGGCAGATTCTGTGAGTCACGGTCTTGGCCTGGAGTTGAGGCGGGAAGCGCCGCCTCTCCTTGGGCCCCTTTTCTCCCCCTTTCCCCTCCCAGTAGTTTCCAGGCGCAGCCAGATGCTGCGCAGCAAATCACCGATTCCCCTTCGCCCAGTCGGCGGGGTAAGGGTCCCGGGAAGGCGCAGCCCCGCACACGGAGGTGTAGGGGGAGCCGCCTGGGGGCATCCCTCTCTGGACTGGTTCCAGCCCCCGCGGAGGCCATCCAGGTGCGGGGGTGAGGCGACTGCTGGGGGAGCGAGAGCCGAGCCCGGGGGAGGAGAGGAGGGGGAGGCCGGGGCGGGCGGCGGGGCCGCGAGCAGCCCTCCGAGGGGCGGGGGGCGGCCCTTCTCCAGGAATTTCCGGGGATCAGGTTACAGCGCCCGAGGAGGGTGCGGCGAGCGGGGCGCTAGGTCCTGCAGCCTCGGGGCCCCTCGCCCCCTCCTCCAGCAGCTCGCGGGCCTGGCGGCGCCGTCCCCGGTCACACAGACCCCCTGTGGCGGGGCCGCCCCGCGCCCCCCACCCCCGGGCCGCTCTGTTATGGTCGGGCCGTCACCACCTCGGGCTGTCGTCGGGGCTCCGCGGCCCCGAGTCATTGTAGGAACGGTCCGGCCCCGCGTTATCGTGGGGTCTGCGCGGGCCCGGCCTCCCCCCGACGAGGCTCCCCGCCCCCATCTGGAGGCGGAGGGGTCTCCTCGTCCCCGAGTCATCTTCGGGACGCCCCGAGCCCGGGTGATTGTGGGTTCGCCCCGGCCCCGGGTGATCGTCTCTTCTCCGTGGCCCGCAGTGGCCGTAGCGTCCCCGAGGCCGCGGGCTCCCGCAGGCTCCCCGTGGCCCCGAGTGATCGTCGGGACGCCTCGGTCGCGGGTGATCGTCGGGTCTCCACGGACTCGGGTCGCTGGGGCGAATCAAGCCTCGCCACCTTCCCCGGGCGCCTCGCAAGGCCGCGGGCAAGATGAACATTCTGGCGCCGGTGCGGAGGGACCGCGTCCTGGCGGAGCTGCCCCAGGTAGGCGCCAGGGCCACGTCGGGCATCTGGCTGCGGTGGGGTGTGGGCGGGGAGGAGCCAGCTTAATCGCTGGGAGGATCGGACCCAGCCCGGCCTTGCAGCTAGGCCTGCTGCTTCTGGGTGGTCCCCTCCGCACCCCTCGCCCGCGGCTACTTGGCGCCGGGACCAGGGCCAGGAGTGGGTGAGCCCGTTCTCTTCCGTGCCTCTCAGTGCCAGAGGAAGGAGGCCGCTTTGCACGTGCACAAAGACTTCCATCCCCGAGTCACCTGCGCCTGCCAGGAGCACCGGACAGGCACCGTGGGGTGAGTTAGAGACGTACAAAGAAAGGGAGGCCCGGAACCCTGCGCTCCAGCACGCGACTACAGCCATCCTGCAGCGGCTCCATTTTAACTTTCTCCCGCTTTTTCAACCCCGCTTTGTTCGTTTTTGGGCCATACCCCGCCGTGCACCGGGTGCACTTCTGGTAGAGCTCAGGGCATCATCCTGGCTGCCAGGGACTGAACTCGTGTCCACTGCGTGCAAAGCCAATGCTCTGCCTTCTGCTCTCTATAAACGCTTCCTCCCCACTTTTTATGCCTGTGTTTCTTTGCAGCAGAGTTGTGGGGAGCCCTATGAGAGCAGGTAGGGAAGAAAGGTGGCACTAAGGTGGCACTAAACTCTAGTGAACATGCTCTGCATGCCCAAGTCTTGAATTCCCTCCCGACACCACATAGTCCCCAAGCACCACCAGGAGCGACCTGGATTTCCATTCCTGGCAACAGATTCCAAAGAGAAAGTGCCCTATAGTATTGGGTGGTCCCCATCTTGGCTTCCCACTGATCACTCTCTTGGACCCTAAGCAGAACCATCAAGGATAAATCTCTTGGGTAAAAATAATAATAACAATAATTTAAAAAATTAAATAAAAAACTCAGGGGGTTGGAGCAGTAGCACAGCGGGTAGGGTGTTTGACTTGCACGCAGCCAGCCCAAGTTCGATTCCCGGCATCCCATAGGATCCCCTGAGCACCGCCAGGAGTAATTCCTGAGTGTAGAGCCAAGAGTAACCCCTGTGCATTGCCAGGTGTAACCCCCCAAAAATAAAAAAACAAAACCACAGGAGCTAGAGCAATAGACTACAGCGGGTAGGGTGTTTGCCTTGCACATGGCTGACACCTATGATCCCCAGCATCCCAAGCACCGCTGGGTGTGACCCAAAAAGTCCAAAACAACCCAAAATAAAACAGTAACACTAATAACAATTGCCACCATTGAGCATCCATATTTCGTTATCATTTGGGGGAAGAGGAGGTATTTTCGCCATATCCAGCTGTGCTCAAGGCTTAGTCCTGGCTTGTTGCTGAGGGGTGAGCCAGGTTCGGCTGTGTGCGAGGCAAGTTCCTTACTCCCTGTGCCATCTCACCAGGCTCTTCATTGTCTTTTAGGAAACACCATCATTTTAAGAGGATTTCTGACTTCAGGGATGTCAAAACATAAGTGAGAAGAGAGGGAATTATCTCAGAATATAGAATACTTGTTTCATATTTAACAACAGCCTTTACAACAGCCAGGAAAAGATATACCAAGGCCAGAGTGGTAGTACAATGTGTAAGGTGCCTGCACATTACACAGGCCTGGGTTTGATCCCTGGCACCACCCCATTTGGTGCCTTGAGCCCCACCAGGAGTGATCCCTGAGCACACCTCTGGGTATGCCATCTCCCCCACCCACCCCCTTTACTTGACAGATGTTGAAAAGGAGACACAAAAAATCCAGTAACTTGTACAGTCACATTAGTACATAAAAGAGCTGCTATTCAAATTCATTCCTATAATATTGAAGCACCAAGCATTCCTCCTCAGTACTTCTGTCCAGGAAAGCTGTTTGGGAATCTGATGTTTATAGTAACCCCAGTGTGGGTTCACCTGCCTTTTTGTCACCAGAAAAAAAAGAGGGGAGTGGATGAAGAGATAACTTAAAGGGCTTAGTTCATAGATTCTTTCTTTCTTTCTTTCTTTCTTTCTTTCTTTCTTTCTTTCTTTCTTTCTTTTTTGCCACACTCATTGGTACTCAGGGTTTACTCCTTGCTCTGTGCTTAGGGATCACTCCTGGTGGGCTTAGGGACCATTTAATGGGGTGTCAGGGATTAAACGAGTTTGACCATGAGCAATGAAAGCAACCTTACCCACTGTGCTCTGGCCCCATGAATGCATGTTTTGCATGCAGGAGACATGGGTTTGATCCCTGGCACTACATAGTATGCTATGCCCACTCTCCACACCCCCCAAAAAGCACTGGACTCAGGTGAATGAATGAGTTGGTGCCCACTTAATATGTGTCCAACCTATTTTTAGTTTGGAGCCATACTTAGCAGTGTTTCAGGGCTTACTCCTGCCTCTGTATTCAGGGATCCTTCTTGGAGGTGCCTGTGGGACCATATTCAGTGCAGAAGATCATAGCCCTGTTGGCTGCATGCAAGGCATGTGCCTTACCCATGTACTCTCTCTCTTTCTGACCCCATCCAGCAGATTTAAGATTTCCAAGGTGATTGTGGTGGGAGACCTGTCTGTGGGGAAGACATGTCTCATTAATCGGTAAGGGCACACGGGAGCTCAACTGGATGAGGATGGGCAAGGAGGGGTGGCCAGGCTTTGCCTGATGGACTGCATTCAAGACCAGAGCACGTGTACCTCTCAGGTTCTGCAAGGACACCTTTGATAAGAATTACAAGGCCACCATTGGAGTGGACTTCGAAATGGAACGATTTGAAGTGCTGGGCGTCCCCTTCAGCCTGCAGCTGTGAGTAGCTCCCCCACCCTTCCAGCCATTCCTTCCTCCAGCCCTGATCCCCACACACAGTGTGTTCCACCCCCTCTTTCCTCCTAGCTGGGATACTGCAGGTCAGGAGAGGTTCAAATGCATTGCATCGACCTACTACCGAGGAGCTCAAGGTAAGCGGGTGGGCAAAGGGGCACACCTGGTTTCTAATCTGGCTGGGGCTGGGCATGTGAGGTGTGGCAGTGAGCGAGTCGTGCCAACACGACTGTTCTCACCTGTCTTCCAGCTGTCATTATTGTCTTCAACCTGAATGATGTGGCTTCCTTGGAGCATACCAAGTAGGTGGAAATGCTGCCATATGCTGGGGGCTCTGGAGAGAAAAGGGCTGTATCGGGGCGTGCCAGGGAGAAGACCACAATTCAACCCGAAGGGAGTGGTGAGCTCATCAGTGTTAGTGGTGGAGGCTGGCGAGCTCCCCCTCCTCGCTGTTTACCCATTGGCAGGCAGTGGCTGGCAGATGCCCTCAAGGAGAACGACCCCTCCAGTGTACTGCTTTTCCTTGTGGGTTCCAAGAAAGACCTGAGTGTAAGTGTGCCGATGGCGGGCTGCCCCCCCGCCCGAGGCGAGCCTCCTGCCCACGACTCTGACTGTCCTGCAGACTCCTGCTCAGTACGTGCTGATGGAGAAAGATGCGCTCCGCATGGCCCAGGAGATGAAGGCGGAATACTGGGCCGTCTCATCTCTCACAGGTGAGTCAGCGGCTTCAAGCCTTCGGCTGTTGCAGTTCTTGCTACTTGCTTCTTTCTCCCCTCTCCGAGCTGTGCCAGGCATTCCGGGCCTGGAACTGCCCATGACCACCTGTCTTCTGTCTGGAAGGTGAAAACGTCCGAGAATTCTTCTTCCGTGTTGCAGCACTGACCTTCGAAGCAAACGTGCTGGCTGAACTGGAAAAATCGGGGGCCCGGCGCATTGCAGATGTTGTCCGTGAGTACCTGCCTGGACAAGGGTGGCGGAGAATGTTAGGGCATCTCTGATGCCAGCTTCCACGTTTTTCCCACTTTTGTCTGCAGGCATAAACAGTGATGACAGCAACCTCTATCTCACTGCCAGCAAGAAGAAACCCACGTGTTGCCCCTGAGATAGGAGGGGACTGTCCAGAGACCATCTAACTCTGGGGCACTGTGTTACCTTAACTCTCTCAGAGCTCAGCCCCAGGACATTGTACAGTTTTGGTTTCCAGACCAAAGAGCTGCGCCTCAGTGACCTGTCCCCAGAAGGGGACCGTGCTAGTCACTTCCTGCCTCAAGGCATCATGCCAAAGACTGGATGCCACTCCCTGTTTCCAGGGTTTTCCAGGCTGCCCAGCACTGAGGAGAAAGCCCCCGTGGCTTTTCTCACCGTGCTGGGCCCTTTAGGTGTGAGGGGGCCTGAGGAGGCCTGATTTCAGCTTCACGCTGTGCCTTATGCATTAAAATCTATTCTTCACAGTTTGGGTCTCAAGTCCTTTGTTGGAAGTAAGGGATGTGGAATGAGCAGATCTGAATGGTTGGTTGTCTTGCATCAACCATTGTCTTGCAGTGTCTTGCTGGAATTCCAGACCTGGGGCCCCTATGCAGGACTTATGCTGACTGGGTGCTATAGAACCAAGTTTTCAAGGCAAGGCTATGCTTATTGGGTGGCTAAGCTTATTACGTTAGCTTTTTTTGGAGGGGGGGTTCACACCTGCCTATGCACAGGGGTTACTCTTGGCTCTGCACTCAGGAATTACCCCTAGTGGTGCTCAGGGGACCCTATGGGATGCTGGCAGTCGAACCCAGGTAAGCCGCATGCAAGGCAAATGAGCTACCAGCTGTGCTACTGATCCAGCCCCAGATTGGGTTAGCTTTGAAAAACCATTCCTTCCCTAAATTTCTACCTTTGTTGTTGTTGTTTTGGGGTCACACCCAACAGTGATCAGTGGTTACTCTTGACTCTACCTATACTCAGGAATTACTCAGGAATTGGCAGTGCACGGAGGACAATGAAGTGCTGGGGATTGAACTTCTGTTGGCTGCATGCAAGGCAAATGCCCTACCCGCTGTACTATCACTCTGGCCCCTAAATTTCTATCATTAAGTCCAGAATGATAATATAGCAGGTAGGGCGCTTACCTTACACACGGCCCACTGGGTTGGATCCTTGGCACCCCACCTAGTTCCCTGAACCCGGTATCCCATATGGTCCCCTGAGCCCACCAGGAGAGATTCCTGAGTGCAGAGCCAGGAGTAAGCCCTGAACACCACCAGATGTGCCCCACAAACAAAACAACACACACACACACACACAAAACCCCATAAAATTACAAATAGTTCTATTTTTATATATTAAAATTTGATTAAAATGGGGCTTGAAGAGCTAGCTTAATGGGCCAAGTGCATGCTCTGCTTGCAGGAGGCCTAGTTTCAGTCCCAAGGCATTGCATGATCCTCTAAGTACTGCACAGATCAACCTTCAAGTGCTCACGGTTGTAGCCCCAAAACTACACACATAAAAATGTCATTAAAAAACTAAGTTGAAAAAGAGAAAAAAGCATTTGGATATTGGGGTTGTTGCTTAGCACTTGCCCTTCATGCATGAGGTCCTGTGTTGCATCCTTCCACTGAAATAAACTTCCCCGTGCCCCCTAAAATAAGCCATGAGAGAGGAGCACCCATGTTTAAAACCATGCTGTCTGCCTGGGGCCATAAGTAAACCAGTTATCCCCTGGGCTAAAGTTTCTTCGTCCGAAAAATGGAGCTGGTATTCTAATGAGGCTTCATGGATAAAATAGCATAAAGCACTCAAAATCCTTAGTCTGGGGCTGGCCAGATAGTCAAGTACGGAAGATGCTTTGACTGTCTCAGGTTCAGTCCTCAGCACCAGACATGTTCCCCCTAGCATCACTAGGAGTTACCCCTGAGTAGTAAGACCTGAACTCTGCTGAGTTTGTCCTCAAAAAGAAAAAGGGGGAAAAAAACTTTGGGGGGTAAATGACCAAGAACCTAACTCACTGTTGCCATCTGGTTTACAGCCAAGGATTGGCTGGAAGAATCTCAGAATAGTGGCTGGAGCCATAGCACAGCAGGGAGGGTGTTTGCCTTGCACGCAGCTGACCTGGGTTTGATTCCCAGCATTCCATATGGCCCCCTGAGCACCGCCAGGAATGATTCCTGAGCGCAGAGCCAGGAGTAACCCCTGTGCATTGCCAAGTGTGACCCCTCTCCCCAAAAAAGAATCTCAGCATCTGACTAGCAATGGAGGGACATATATAGCCTGATGCCATCTGAGAAAGCATGGGTAAACATGTTTGTCTTTTGTTTTGGGGCCACACCAGCAATAATCAGGGGTTACTCCTGATTCTGCACTCAGGAATCACTGCAGGAGGGCTTGGGGACCATATGGGATGCCAGGGATCAATCCTGGATTAGCTGCATGCAACGCAAGTACCCTACCCATTGTACTATCACTCTGGTCCCCCAAGGATGGAATCTTAAAGGATCATCCGTGCTTTGGAGTTTGGTAGAGAAAGTAAAGAATAAAATGTGGAGAATGTTAGTGACGTGGCTCTAACACTTATACACTCTCCTGGAATTGTTTCCTATATGTTACCTCACAGGACTGTGCTCACTACACCTTGTACTTACCCTATAACTCGTGTGTGCCCACACGCATATGTGCATAGGAAGCCTGCCCTCACCGCTGCGGGCTAGTGCTGCATGGGCTGTGGAGAGCAGAGTTGGTTGTGTTCCAGGCAGTGCCTTCGAGGGGCATGTGCCTGCTGCATTCATGTATGGTGGGTGGGATTCTTTTGTATACTGGTTGTGTGGGGAGTGTGTATCCTGTCCTTGGGACTTGTGGTGGGAGGGATATATGTAGGTGATCCTGAATGCAATGACCTTGCTCCTAAAGAGGTACAAGAGGTTGCTCGAATGAAATAAGCATTAGGAGTTAGGATGTTAGCCTAAACAGTTGGAGCACAGGCTTGGCATGCAGGAACCCTCATTCTGCATAGTGCCCCGAGTACTAAAATACTGCATAGTCCTCGTCCTCTACCATCATTGGGAGCAAGGCATGATGTGTTGTCCCCGCCAACAACAAAATAAGAAAACAATAATATCTTGGAATAACTTTTTTTTTTTTTGCTTTTATCCTACCCTTGTTCTGGCTCCTAGAACTTTCATTTTTGTTTCTGAGTGACACCCTGCAGTGTCATGGGAAGGCCCACTTAACAGTGGTGCTCAAACCCTGGATCCAGTGCTTTTAGCAGTCTTCCCTGCCTATACCAACTATTCTGCAAGGAGTGACCAAGACTCTGGCACAGGATTGGTATCTTTATTGGGCAATATTGCCTGGGACTGGGGCTAGGGCAACAGTTCAATGGGTAGGACAATTGGGTAGGACATTCACCTTGCATGTGGCTGATTGGGATTCTAGCACCGGCATCCCAAATGGCTCCCCGGCTCCCCTGCCCCAGTACCATCAGGAGCAATTACTGAGTGCAGAGCCAAGAGTAACCCCTGAGCATCACCAGGTGTGATAGGAAAACAAAACAAAGCAACAACAACAGAAAATACTGTCTGAGACTGGGAGCTCCCTGGATGAGGAGAAGGGGGTCACAAGCAGAGTCAGTTAGGACAGGGCCTAGGTGGGGGAGGCCGGGTGGGGAGGCAAAATGCCACAGGGGACCTAGGAACCTGCATTAGGTCCTTATTGCTGAATCTGTGAGGAGGGGACTCTGGGCGGAGGGGGAAGGAGAGAAGGAGAGAGAAACCGAGACAGAGAGAGAAAACGGACGCTAGATAGCGGGTGATGTCTCCCCCCAAGGACTTCGGTGGGCTGGAGACCGGGAGGGCTCCGGGAAGGTGGGGGAGCGCCGCAGGACCGGGCATCGGTTCCAAACGGCGCAGAGGCGTTGGAGAATCGCAGGGTCGCGGAGGGGCTGGTTAAATCTGGGCCCGGGAGTAGCCGCGCGGGGATGGGGCTGAGGGCCGGAGCAGGGCGGCCGAGACAGGGTTTCAGGCCTGAACTCTACAGGAAGAGCCTCAAGCTCCAAGCGGGAGCCCGGGGCGCCTGGAGGGACCCGGAAGGCCCCGGATGAAGAGCGCGGTTACACTCGGGTTGCCAACAAGGTCTAGAACGTGGGGGGAGGGGTGCGGGGCGGGCAAGCATGAGGCGGAGTTAGGGACCGGGCCCGGGCGAAGCTGAGATTGGGGTACAGGGTCGGCTCCGCCACACATAAGCTCAAGGGCCGGACTTCGGTAAGAGGCTAAAGCCATGTGGGTCAGGACAACACTGACGATCGAAAGATGGACTGAAGAAAACAAGGCCGAGAAGGCGTTGGCCAAAGCCTGGGCCGAGAAGAACGGTACGGCGGGGCGGGGCTCGGCGGCGGGCTCGCCGCCCGCGGTCGAACGGGGAGGCGGGACCCAGGCCGGGGCGGGGCTGGGGCCGGGGCCGGGCTCCCGGCCGCCCCGGGCCAGTGATTGAGTACTGCGGGCCCTGGGGACCCGGGAGTCGGCTCGCGGGGGCGGCTGGGGCGCTCGGTGTAGCCCAAGGGGCCGCCGCGGGCTGCAGGGCAGACAGGCCGGGCGCCGGGCAGCGGCTGCCCGGGAAGTACGGGGCTGGGCTGGAGCCCAGGGTCCGGCGCCCACTCGGCCACCGCGGGTGCACGGTTCCAAGACTCAGAGCTGGGGGGTGGGGGGGTCTTGGGCTTCCACGTGACATCACAATCCCCCTGAACTGGGGGGCGGGGTCGGGGCGGATTTTTCCTAGAGACGCGCCGCGCCTGCCCCGCTCCCCGTTTCCCTCCCGTAGACCTTCCCTCCCTTCCTCCCTTCCTTCTTCCCCCTGTACGCCCGGCTGGTCCGGGAATCCACCTAGAACCTCGTCCCAGGATGCCTCAAAGGCCGGGGGAGCTCGTCCATCCGCAGGGCAGGGAGAGTGCGGTACCAGTGAGCATCTCCTGTGAGTTCTGTTCCCGGCGCCTGATAATGCCTCCTCAGAAAGAGATCACCAGCTTCTCTTAAGTTTGTTTTTGTTTGTTTGTTTTGATCTGGGAGGATCCATCTTTCTTTCTTTAATTTTTATTAGTGACATACCATGAGGTACAGCTGTAGACTTACGAAGTTTTGTGCTTGGATTTCAATCATACAATGATCAAATACCCATCCCTCCACCAGTGCCCATTCTCTTAAGTTTTTCCTCGTCAATCGGAGGAAATTTCTTCTTCAACCTCGTTCCCTTAATGTGTCCTAGTCGTTCTGGGCTCCTGCTCCGGCTGGAGCCCTGCGTCTTGGGGAGAAGGGACAGCCACTATATTCCAGCCCCCGCAAACAACCTCAGGGGGCCTTAGGGGGCTTTGGATGAGTGGGAGTAGAGCCTGCACAATGACCCCCTTTCTTGGTGACTCTGAATAGAGCAAGGACACTGGCCCTGGCCCAGGCTGTATAAAGGAGCCAGTGGAGTTAGGGCTGGGTCAGTCTAGATTCTAGCGGGTAAGGAACTGGCTGGGAGGGAATTCAAAGTAGTGTGATAGGGGACAGGACAGGTTTTGGATAGGATCATTAAGTAGACGCCAAAAGAACATAAGCCAGGGGAACCGGGGTGGTAGTACAGAGATAGGTGCTTTTCTTGCACACAGACGACCCAGGGTTGACCCCTGGCACACATAAGTCCCTGAACCCCACCGTGTGTGGCCCAGAAAGCAAAATAAAATTTTAAAACAGCCCCCCCAAACATTTATTGATCACCCCCATATCCTAGAATCTGTAAAGATAGAGTCAAAAGAAATATGGACCTTGTTCTCAGGTTGCTAAACACAAAATGCGTGAAGGTTACCAAGGCCAGGGAAAGGTGCACGAGATATGACACTACTACTCGATAAGTGGGTAGTGTTTTTTTTTTTTCTTTTTGGGTCACACTTGGCGATGCACAGGGGTTACTCCTGGCTCTGCACTCAGGAGTTACTCCTGGCGGTGCTCAGGGGACCATATGGGATGCTGGGAATCGAACCCAGGTCAGCCGCGTGCAAGGCAAACGCCCTACCCGCTGTGCTCTCTCTCCAGCCCCGTAGGTTTTGTTTTTGAGTTTTTTTTTTCCTTTTGGGCCAATTTGGCAGTGTTTGGCAGGGATTGCTTCTGGTGGCAATTGGGGTACCATATGGGATACCGGGATTGAAACCAGGTTGGCGGTGTGCAAGGCAAGTGCCCTACCTACCTTACTGTCATTTTGGCCCCAAACTGTTCTTTCCAAGATGAACAGGTGTGTCTGGGAGTGGGTGGCAGGAGAAAAGTAGAGGAACGGGTAGGTGGGAGGGACTGATAATTCATGAATCAGAGAGCCCAAGTTCTGTGGGCTGGTCATGTCACAATAAGGAGTTTGTACCTCCTCCTGAAGGCAATGAAATGTCATTTAAGGGGAATAACATGGTGGATTGGCTGGCATTTTCGAAAACTCAAGTCTGACTGCACTGAGGATAGTGAAAGGAGGGAGGACGTCAGGCAGGCTGCTTCTGCTGCTCTCAGCCTTGAACCAAGACTCACAAATGTTAGGGCAGGGAGAAGGCATTATAAGATATGGTCATCATGTTGGTGTAGAAGTAAGGGATGTGTCTGCTGCTCTCTGGAATGGAAGACACAAAAAGGTTGAAGGGAAGGGAGAAGAGGTTTGTGGGGGATTCGGCCAGAGCAATAGTACAGTTGGTAGGGCATTTGCCTTGCATGTGGCCGACCCGGGTTCGATCCTGGACATCCCAAATGGTCCTCCGAACAACACCAGGAGTAATTCCTGATTGTAGAATCAGAAGTAACCCCTGAGCACTGGGTGTAACCTCCCACAAAAAAAAAAAAAAAAAGAAAGAAAATAAAAAGAACAGTCACAGTGTTGGCCAGGGCAGGGAGGGAGCATGTGGTGTGATCCCCGGGGCTCCCACATGCAATGCATATGTTCTAGTCCTTTGAGCCTTGTCCCTGGATCCCAGATTTATGTCACTGTATTGGCAGGTATTGAAACCGTGGAGTGGATGACATCGTCTAAGACAAGCTTAGCGCATCTTCTAAGGCAGCAACACAAGCAGGACCCAGGCAATCACTAGTGTAATGGCTGTGGTAGGGGAAGGAGAGATAGTAGGGAGTTAGGAAAGAACTAAAAAGATAGAGAAGGAAGAAGAAGATCAGAAAGCTCTATCACAGGCACCAAAAGAACAGTTTACAGAAGAGGTCACAGGGACAAGCGAGATGAGATGAAAAGAAGGCAGGAAATGAGTTTCCAGGCCAGTTCCTTGAAGTTTCATTTATTCAGATTTGAGGTACTTACTGAGGTAACCAGGGACCTGTAGGCACATTATCAAATGCCACTGAGGCTGAGCTGAAGTGCCCTGCTTCCTTCTGAAACAGGCCCCGTTTCCAGGGCCCCAAAGCTAACTGTGGGAAGAAAAGGAAAATGGCAGCCTCTGCCCTGGGGGAAGTGCTGACTCAGTTGGAGTTCTGCTCTGATGGCCTCGGACCAGACTCCACATGCCCTGTGATGTGATGACCCTTGGCCCAGACTCTGGCTCACTCCTATTCATTACCGCAGATTTGGCAGTAATAAGGACAGTATCCCCCTGTCCTTACCCATCCCACCAGCTCAGCGGGGGACCTTATTCTCTGCTCCCACGGGTCTTCCTTTGAGTCAGGGTCTGCATCCCACAACTGTCCTCACCTCTTCTGCAAATCTCCAGTTTCCTTCCACTCCCTCCTCAAGCCCCTTGAAAACAGGGACTCCTTTTAAAAACTTCTTTGTTTTGATCCACATCTGGCAGTGCTCAGGGCTTACTCCTGGTGAGGCTCAGGGACCGTATGGGGACCTTATAGGGTGCCAGAGATCCAAGCTGGGTCAGCTGTGTATAAGGCAAGTGTCACTAAGACTCCAACCCTAACAGCAGGGACTCTTCTGGATTTTTTTTGTTATCGTCCTTGTTTTGTTTTTTCTTTCTGAGTCACACTCGGTGATGCACACTCCTGGTTCTGCACTCAGGAATTACTCCTGGCAGTGCTCGGGGGACCATATGGGATGCTGGGAATCGAACCCAGGTCAGCTGCATGGAAGGCAAATGCCCTAGCCGCTGTACTATCGCTCCAGCCCCCTCTGTGGGTTTTTAACCTCTGCATCTGCAGGGTGCAGCTGGGTTCTGAAGTGTCTGGTGAATGAATGGCATGGGGTGGGGGAGAGGTGCTGTTGCTGCTACTCTGTCGTTTCTCAGGTGTAAACAGGTTACCATGCTGGGAGAGAGGAGCCCTGCTGGCTGGTGTGCCTTCTAGCACTGATGCATCTACCCTTTCGGCTGAAGGTGAGTCCAGGGGAACCTCAAACTTCATCAGGTGGAGTGGTCTGGGAGGGAGGGAGAAGGGGGATGTTTAGTCCTAAAAGATTACCTGGCTCCCTCACCCTCACATAGAGGGCCTCTCTGGAATCCACAAACACCCTTTCTCTCTCTTTACATAGCACTTAAAATTAAAAATAAAATTGGTGGGGAGGGGGAAGGTAAGGATGGTGTGTTAACATTTGGCAGTGCTCAGGGATCACTCCTGGTGGTGCTCAGGGGACTCTCTGTGGTGCTGATGTCGAATGTGAGTTAGACACATGCAGGGAAAGTGGGCTGGAGTGATAGTACAGTTGGTAGGGCATTTGCCTTGTACGCAGCCAACCTGGGTTTGATCCCTGACATCCCATATGGTCCCCCAAGCACCACCAGGAGTAATTCCTGAGTGCAGAGCCAAGAGTAATCCCTAAGCATTGCTGAGTATGACCCAAAAAGAAAAAAAAATCAAGTATTTGTTCAGTCACTTGGATGAACAAACCCACAACCTGGGTTAAATCCTGCTGAGTGGCCAGTATGAGGTCTGTTCCCATTCAGGACTCCCCGGGGGTCTGGAAAAATGTACAATGCTCCTGGTCTCTTTAAAGGGAACTGGCCAGTCACAGCACCTCAATTAGTACTCACCAGCTTTTTTCTCTAGGTGGGCACGGTGGGAGTCCAGGAGGGAACTGCAGGAAGATGCCTTGTCCTCTCTGCTCTGGTATGTGAAACCTTGGTCCCAGGGCTTTCGGGAGGGTTAATGAAGCAGTGGGGTGGAGTCTGGGAGATTCCAGTGTGTGAAGGAGGATTTGTGTTAGACTGAGCAAAAGAGTGGGCAGCCGTTCTCTGGGTCATTCACTCAACACCAACCTCCTACTGCTCTGTGAAAAGGAGACATGGTATCTTCTCTCTCTTTCTCTCTCTCTCTCTCTCTCTCTCTCTCTCTCTCTCTTTTCAGTGACAAAATAGTTTTTATCAAACAAAATTTACTTAGACATGGGGAGAAAGAGGAATATGCGTAAGAGAAAGATCCACGTAAGGGAGAACACACCCGGACTGGATTTTTTTTCTTCTTGTTGGGTCACACTAGGTGATGCTCAGGGGTTACTCCTGGCTCTGCACTCAGGAATTACTGCTGGTGATGCTCAGGGGATCATATGAGATGCAGGGTTGGCTATGTGCAAGGCAAATACCCTTCCTGGTGTACTCTCATTCACAGCCCCAAGAACACGAGCTTGAAAGCATAAGCCAGCATCTGTTTTCTTTCTAAGGGTAGAAGGGCTCAGGCTGAGGATGTCACTCAATTTTGTAGCTCTAAGGATGGTAGAGAATGGATGCGGAATGGGAACTTGAGTCAAGAGGCAGGGAAAAAGACAAATGGGCTGGAGACATAGCATAGGAGGTAGAGTACTTCTCTTGCATGCAATTACTGTGGTCTAGTTTAGAGTCCCTGGCACCACACAGTACTTCCCTGAGCCCAGCTGGGTGTGGCCCAACCCCCCCCCCCCCAAAAAAAAGGTGTTATGTGAGGGGATGGAGAGATAGTGCCTTGCATGTGACTGGAGAGATAGTGCCTTGCACGTGGCCTACCCAGGTTTGATCTGCAGTACCCCATATGCCTGCCCCCGTGCCTGGCTATTCCTCGCCGGGGCCCCTTGGAGGGGAGCGGGTTGAGCTTTCCTCCCCGCCCTGACCAGGGCCCCGGCAGCTGAAGACCTCCAAGACCAGCCACCACCATGCTGAGACCACTCTCCGCACACATGAAGGTACTGGCAGAGGGACAAAGCCACGCGGGTTCCGGGGCCGAGATCTCCCAGCCTACTCGGATTGGAGTCGAGCATCCTCCACCCAGATCCTCCAAATTCCAGTAGGCGGGGGTCACACCCACCACCTGGCCCCCTGGCGCCGTGTAATCCCATCAGCGGCCAAGACTCAGAGACTATAAAATCCAGATCCCGGACGAGAACAGTGCAGTCTCTGCCCCCGCGCCTGGGTGTTCCTTCCCGGAGTCCCTTGGAGGGGAGCGGGTTGAGCTTTCCTCCCCGCCCTGACCAGGGCCCCGGCAGCTGAAGACCTCCAAGACCAGCCACCACCATGCTGAGACCACTCTCCGCACACCTGAAGGTACCGGCAGAGGGACAAAGCCACGTGGGTTCTGGGGCCGAGATCTCCAAGCCTACTCGGATTGGAGTCGAGCATCCTCCACCCAGATCCTCCAAATTCCAGTAGGCGGGGGTCAACCCACCAACTGGCCCCCTGGCGCCGTGTAATCCCATCAGCAGCCAAGACACTGAGACTATAAAAACCAGCTCCCGGAACCGTGCGGCCGCATTTGCGGCCGCGCGACATCTTATTATGACATCTCATTCCTACTTTGACAAACTGGCAGGCTACCGAATGTAGCCTGCCCACACGGCAGAGTCTGGCAAACTCCCCGTGGTGTACGCAATATGCCAAATACCAGTAACAATGATGGATCTCATTCTCCTAAAGAGCCTTGAATATAACCTCAGGGCCAGGATGAAGGAGACGTTACTGGGGCCTGCTCGAGGCAATCGACGAATAACAATCGACCCCATATGGTTCCCCACGCCCCACCAGGAGTGATCCCTGAACACAGACAGACCCTGAGCACCATCAGGTGTGACCTAAAACAGTAACAAAGAATGAATGTTGTTTTTTTTTTTCCTTTTGGGTCACACCCAGCGATGCTCAGGGATTACTCCTGGCTTTGCACTCAGGAATTACTCCCTGGCGGTGCTCAGGGGACCATATGGGATGCTGGGAATCGAACCCGGGTTGGCCGCATGCAAGGCAAATGCCCTACCCGCTGTGCTATTGTTCCAGCCCAACAAAGAATGAATGTGGAAAAAGGTGCCAGGAGGGAGAAAAGGAGCTTGGAGAAGGGGAAAGGGAAGGTTTGCAGGCCTGATAGCTAGAGTGGCTCCTGAGGCCCTGGGGGCTGTCCCCAGCCCGCTGCACCTGTGTGGGAACATGAACCGAGGATGCTATGGCTGCTGCTTCTTATTGCAGAGAGTTCGGTGGGGACGCTCCTGTCTTCCATGTGGCTCCAGAGTCTTCCCTACCCAGGCATCCTGTGGAGGGGGGCCGTGGTGCTGTAATACCCCACCTCTGGCTGAAGGGCAGGTGGCAACCAGTGAGGACCAGGCTTTCTTCCACACTTAGTTGGTTAAGGCCAGGGAGGGGATGAGCGAGAGGGAGAGGGACCTGGTGAAAACCTACTGTGACTCAGACATGTTCTGGGGCGGGGGCAGAGAGCAGGCCGACTCATCAGTGAACAGAGGGGCTGGAGAGAGTATAGCGGGTAGGGCACTTGCTTTACATGTGGCTGACTCTGGGATGGGCTCAATCCCCAGCACCCCATATGGTCCCCTCGAGCACCACCAGAGTGATTCCTGAGTGCAGAGCCTGGAGTCACCCTGAACACTGCCAGGTGTGGCCCAGAATAAAGAAAAATCAGTGGACTTAGGGTGAGGCTCAGCATTTCCACTGGACTGAGTTACTTCTACTAAAGAACTCACAGGGCTGCTGTTGGCAGCAAGGTAACTGGGTGAAACTTTTAACTGAGCTGGGCAGGGGAGTGGCAGAGGTCTGCTGCTCCTGCTACTACAGTGACCCAGATCCTACCCCCTCAGGTGACCTCAAAGATGCTGAGAGGTGCTGCTGGCAACATAAGCAATGTGGTGGGCATCTCATCCATCCCTACACTGCAGACTGTGGCCACCACAACCTGCACCTGCATACTGTTGGCCATTGTGACTGTGATACCAGGTAAGGGTCTTTCTCCTTAGGGGAACCTGGGGCCAAGGAGACTCAGGGGTAGAGTTAGGTTCAAAGTTGTACTATGGGGAGGTTTTTTGAAACTCAGGAGCTTTTTTTCTTTTTTGGCTTTTGGGTCACACCCGGTAATGCTCAGGGGTTACTCCTGGCTCTACACTCAGGAATTACTCCTAGCATTGCTCAGGGGACCATATGGGATGCCAGGGATTGAACCTGGGCTAGCTGCGTGCAAGGCAAACTCTGGCCCCCCAGGGCTGTTTCTTATGATTCTTGTTCTGGGGCCCTGGGCAGTCACAGAGGTGTGGGAGCCAGACTGAAACCTCTTTCTGGCAGGCTGAAGGACTGCTCAGAGAAGGTAGATGGCACCAGCTCCCGAAATCCGGGCCCGACCTGCTCCCGAGATGGAGGCCCAACCTGTTTCAACATCATCCAGACCCCTTGCTTTGAAGTTATACCAGAGGAGGAGTGTGCGGACCAATTCTGGTATGACTTGTGAGTTGGCGGGAATATGGGCGAGGGTAGCTGGCTGGGAATCCTGAGCCTGTGGATGGGGCACCGGCCCGTGTGATCTCTGTCAACTTACTCTGCTACTGTCTTCTTCCAGGTGCAAAAACTACAGGCCCGTCTCTGTGGCAGTGATCCACCATCCCTTCCACCATGAATGCGGAGCAGATGACTTAAATGTGGAAGAGGAGGAGGCCGAGGAGGAGGAGGAGGAGGAGGAGGAGGAGGAAGAAGAAGAAGAAGAAGAGGAAGAAGGAAGTAAATCTCCCATCCCCAACCAGACGGGTTCTGCCTCACCCACAGAGACAGGCCCAGTCACAGGCACCGCGGACTCTACAGCTCCCATCACCATCTGGCGCTCCGAGAGCCCCACAGGGAAACCCCAGGGCAACAAGACTATCAAGAAGATCAAGAAGAAAAAGGAAAAAGAGAAAGAAAAGGAGGAGGACACGGATGAGAAGATAAAACCTAAAAAAAAGAAGAAGAGCAAGTTGATAAAGAAGAAAAGCGCTGTTAAAGCGGAATCTTCACCTCCAGACAGCCGATCTCTATGCCCGAGAGAGCTGGCTAGGACGTCTGAGTCCAGCCCTGAAAGCCGGGAAGAGTTGGAGAGTGAGGACAGTTACAATGACCCCAAGCGGGAAATATTCTCCCCCAGTGAAGATATCGTGGAGTCATTGCCCAGGAAGAAAGACAAAAACTTGCCCCAGGCCAAGAAGCCCGGAGCAAAGACCTCATCGACCAAGAAGGTGAGCAAGAGAAAATCTCCCCCAGCATCAAACCCCAATCTCAGTTGAGGCCCAGGAGACCAGGTGAAGAATAAACATGTTCACGCCTGTCGTTGAGCACCCCCTTCTGCTGTTCTCTCTCCCTCTCACTGGGTTCCTTTGGGGGGTTGGGGAGGGCTTTGGGCTTAGCTGGAGCCAAGGGAAGAATGGGCTGCAGGGTTCTTGAAGGCATCCATCTTTGGCGAGAAGTCCATGGAAAGGAGGTAGAAAGGCATCAGAGGAACAGCTTGTTGCTCTGTGCCACCCTAAGCTTGGGGGAGCTGAATACATCTAGCTAGCTGCTGCTGCATGGGAGACCGTTCTATGTGAAATCCAATCCGCTCCAGAAAAGGCAGCATTATCTGCAGTGAAACCCCTAATAAATTGGACCTTTTAACCCAACTCTGTGCCACTGTGCCTGGCCTTTCCTGCCCCTAAGTGGCCCTGGGGAAGGTGCTGGTGGCACCAAAAGGAACATCATCTTCTCAGCTGGTGTCGCCCTGCTCCTGCTGGACCCTTCTAGACCTTTTGTGCTGAAGGGAATGGAATTGAGTCCCTGGCAGAAGGCCAGTCCCCGCCATCCCTCCCTGACTCTTGTCGGCATACAGTCACAGAGACAAGAAAAGCCAGGGGGGAAGCTCCCCCAGCTTTAGACAGTAGTGGACTTTTGTGACTGCTCTGCTGAGCCCCAAGAAGAAGAAAGGAAGGGTTTAGGCAAGCTTCCTTTTTGCAACATGCACTTGGCAAAGTGCATTGGAGGCTTCTTTGAGGAGATGAGGGAGATCAGGAGTCCAGAACAAAGAGGCAGGAGGGCTAGAGGAAGGTCAAGGGCGAGAGCCAGGGGATGGCCTCTCCTGTGGTGCCCTTTCAAAGGTAATATGTGGGAGCGGGTGTGTTTATGAGGCATTCATGAGGGGGGTTCATGAGGAGGGCCGGGCACACTCAGCCTCTTGGTGCTGTCAGATACTGAGGTACAATCTGGCAAAAAGCAAGGAGCGTAGAGGAGAAATTAATTTACTTGTGAGAGGCGGGGGCATGGGCGTGGGTGCTGGACACAAGTCTAATGACAGCCATTAATGCTTACTGAGGCCTTAAGGGGTCGCACCTTCGTCCTCCCAGCTGCTGGGTGGGGCCGGGCTCTGTGCCTTCAGATCAGAGAAGCGAGTGAGCTCTCAGAAAAGGTCACGGGGCTGGCAGACGGAGGGGAGCAGGAATCCGACGCCGGGGCTGTGTGATGCAGAAGCTGTCTGTCTGCTCTTCTGTGAGTCACTGCTACCCCTCATGGTCTGGAGAGGATTCAGGAAAGCCTCAGAGCTCAAGCACTGCTCTGAACGCTTCCCCTCAGGAGTCGGAGAGTTGCACAGAAAGGCACTGCCAGGTGCTCTGTAGAAACACTGTTTATTCAAATGACAGGCAGGAAGCAGTGGCAGCAGGTGGGTGAGGGCGGCCAGGTGGGCTGGGTGGTGAGCGCTGCTTCCCTACGTCCGCTGCAGCCCTGCTCGACAGCCTCCCAGGATGTTGGCATCTGGGTCAGAAATACTTGCCCTTCTCTCCCTCCTGCCCCAAACTGAATAAATAGCATCCCTCTCCCCCCAGGAACGGGGGGGACTCGTGTGCTGAGCTTGGTGCCCCGGTCACAGCTCAGTCAAGTGAGGGCAGAAGCTCGGAATGGCTTATAGGGAGGAGAGTACAGAACTGTTCCACTCTCGTTCTCCTCTTCCTCTTCCTCCTCCCTGCCACACTCCCCCCTCCCAGCCTGGTCCTGGGGCAGGGGGGTCAGTGAGGGCCTGGAAGTGGGAGAATCGTTCCCTAGTGTACACTGAGCTCGAGTTCGCCAGGCCAGGCCAGCCTGTCACCCGTCCAGGCTGACCACCACAGAGAACGTCATCCACGCCACTTTATGGACAGAAAAGGAGGGGCAGGGAGAGAGGCAGTGAGCAGCCAGGCCTCTCTCAGCCTCAGAGGTAACCAGAGTCCTACGAGCAGGCCCCCTACCGGTCCATCTCATCAAGGAGCGGGGTGGCGTCGCCGGCAATGGACATGGGGGTGCTTTCGATCATGGGGCTGGGGGAGGGCCGAGGTGTTAGTCGCTGCTTCTGTTTCCGCCGCTCTGCTTCCTTCTCCTGCAGCCACTGCTCTGCCATTTTTCCCCAGTCGATGGCTGCGTGGCTGTTGGACCTGGAGGGCGAAGAAGGGGCCTTTGAGGTTGGCGCCTGGAGGCTCGGAAGAAGGTGCCTTCCCACTGCTGGCATGAGCTTCCCCTTGCAGCAACGGCCTCCCTCCCTCTGGGCAGCAGGCCCTCCTGCTGGTGAGCGACAGTTGGGAGGGCTGTACAATGATCTGTCTCAGAAAGCAGTTCCTCTGCTCTCAGAAGACCCAGCAGCCCTGTCTACGCCAAGCCTTAATAACCCTTGGCCCTACCTTAGAATGTGCTTTGCACCAACCTCCACATACTATACTTTTGTTTAAAACTTTATTTACTGGGGCCGGAGCGATAATACAGCAGAGAGGGTGTTTGCCTTGCATGCGGCCGACCCGGTCCAATCCCTGGCATCTCATATAGTTCTCCGAGCACTGCCAGGAGTGATTCCTGAGTACGTGAGCCAGGAATAACCCCTATGCATTGCCGGGTGTGACCCAAAAAGCAAAACAAGAAAGAAAAAAAATTTAAAAAATTTGGCATTCGGGCCACACCTGGTGGTGCTCAGGGCTTACTTCTGGGTTGTGTGCTCAGAGGATCATAATGTATTGCTGGGGACTCAACCTGGGTCGGTCACGTGAAAGGCAAGTGCCTACCTGCTGTACAATAGTTTGCTTGGTTGTGGTTATTGGGTCACTCAAGATAGCTCATACTACTGGCTCTGCGCTTATATTACTCCTTGAGGAGCTCGATTCACAAACGCGGATTGGCGGTGTCCAATGAAGTGTCTCACCTACTGGACCATCTCTCCAGCCCCCCCAATACAGTTAATGATAGGGTTTCATGCATATGATGATACACCACACCATCCACCAGGGTCCCCCACTTCACGCCTGCCCTCATTACACGCGGCTCAGTTCTGTAGGCCAGTTCTCAGGTCCACGTGCCATACTTACTTTGGCTGCTGCTGCCGCTGTCGGGAGCTGGACGAGGGCTGAGGCTGGGCCTGGGCAGACTGGGGGGTGGTGCTGGCCTGTAGCTGGTGGTACTGTGGGGTGGTGATGGGTTGACTTGGGGTTGTGTAGGAGTAGCTTGGGGTCATCAGTGGTGTTGCCACTGGCTGCTGAGCTGGTGTGGGGAAAACCTGGAGAAGGATAAACAGTGACATGGGGATGAGTTCTAGGCCTGATTTTACTGTGATTTCTGATAAGCCAAGGGAATTGGGGCTCAACTGACCCTCTGCTACACAGGGCACTGAGATGGAATTTGGTGTAACGGCCTACTAGTCCTGACCCCTAGAGGTTTCTAGTGGGTCAAAAGTTTCAGAGTTCACAAAGGACTCGGTGGAAAGGCCAAAACTCTTCTGTTTGGCGGGGAGGGTCATACCTAGTGGCACTTAGGACTTCTTGCTTTGCACTCAGAGATCACTTCTGAGGGATCACTCACTGGCTCAGGGACCAACTGGGGTGCTGGGGTTTGAATCTGGTTGGCCGCGTGGCAGGCAAGTGCCCTACCTGCTGTACTGTCATTCCAGCCCCAAGTCAAAACTTTTCTTACTCTGGGTCGGGGAGATGGCTCAAAGGGCAGGAGCACACACTGTGCCTTAGATCACTGGCACCACATGTATCCTGGAGTACTATTGTGCACGCCACACAAAAAGACCACTCCCCACTCCTGGCGACACTTACATGGTAAGCGCTGCTTCCGCCTCCACTACCGCCATAACCATACTGGCTAGAGGCCCACTGGGCTGGGGTGGCATTAGGATTCTGTCCTTGGCCTGTCACGGCAGCAATGGCACTGAACATCTGCGAGGTCATGTTCTGGGGCAGGGCATTCACCGCCCGTGTCAGGTCTGTAGGAACACAGAGGTAGGGCACAGTCACGCTGGAGGCAAAAGTCCTCCTGCATCTTCCCGACGCCCAATCCCAGGCCTGAGCTCCTCACCTGCAAGGTTGATGTTGGCTGGGGTGGCGTTGATGGAAGCGGGGGTCCGGGTTCTGCTGCTGCTGCTGGGAGTGATGCCTGGAGGAAATCAGCTGGTGTCTGTTATGTGTCTCCAGAAAGCTATTTCTGGTTTCACTATTTGAGGGCTAGAGAAACTTCTAAGGTGAGTAGTGAAGAAGGGAAACGTGCATAGTTAAGCAGAGGGATTTTCTGGTCCACAGTAAGTTAGTGAGAGAGCTACAATACATCCTCTGCCTTCCCTCCTCCCCCAGAAGGGAGCATCTCAGTGTTTCCCAAAACACATCCTGGAAGTCAGGGAGAAAAGTGCACTCACCTGGTACAGGATCCTGGTAATGATCCTTAAACCACCTGAAAAGTCCATTCACAGTAGGGAAGATCTGGCCCCGGTAGCGGAATCCCTCTGGAGTCACCGTTACATATTCTATCCTGGGAGTTTGGAAGGAAATAGGCATCAGATGCCATGTGGGACGAGCAGTGAGTGGGGAGATCTGACCACCATGTTAAGTAGCCATTCTGGGGGCTGGCAGGGAGAGAAGAGCCAGTCCCTGGCACATACGCGCCCAAGCCCATGTACTGCTTGTGCCCACGTGGTCGAGCACATGTGGTGCCTGAGCACATGTGTCGCCCGCATCTCCCCTCTTGAGATGTATACTTTCATGTCCAATGCTGGGATGTGTGTAGGGTCTCTTTCTGCCCTAAGAGAAGCCTGGGTTCTCTCTTGAGCTTCTCTCTCTCTCTCTCTCTCTCTCTCTCTCTCTCTCTCTCTCTCTCTCTCCCCCCCCCCCTCAAAAACCTCCAAATAAGATCTGTTTTACTTCCAAAAAAAAAAAAATTCAAAAGAGCAAGCCAGCCCCTGATCCTGTAAAAGGAGGTTGCACTCTGGTGAAGAGTACAGACAGGGCCAGGAGTCAGCAGTCCAGGGTGTGCCAGATGAAAGCCCATTGGGCCCAGGGCCTCAGAGCAATGGCAGGCAGTACATGGAGGGAAGGTCACACCGAGCTGGCAGAGTCAGGGTTAAGTGGCTGTCAGGACAGCGAAGCTCAACACCCCATGAATGTGGAAGTCCGGGGATGGAGAGCCTTCTTTATTCAACACTGCAGAGCAGACAGGAGAAAATACA